ATAAAATGTACTCACTGAAATTATTGTTTTTTTTTTAACTTCTGAAGCAAAGTATTGTACTAAATCGTAAAATTTATATTAAAGGGCATTATTAACGGCCCAAAATTTTGATTACAACATTTTAGTTGAACTGTTTTAATATATTTTTACATATTGTTGCGCCCGTGCTTTTCGCCACTGATGCTGTGTGTTACAGCTGACGGACCGATCGATAATATCGATCGGTCACTATAAAGTTGAAGCCTTATGGCATTTGTAAATAACAAGAATCTTTCTTATATTTGTTGTCAAGACAATATCGATTAGCGGTTTAAAGGGTCTCTATGACAGTTTATAAACAAACTGTCATATGTCAGTACTACGGTAGCTGTCTGCTCGGGCGGACGTCTATGACAACTCTGATATTTGAATTGTATTTCCGGTTATTATTTGTTGAGTTCTGTGTTTGTAATTAAAGTGTTCTCTTTCATAAAGTGTTGTGTTGTATTTCTTATTTTCCGCGAGTTCCGTTGATGCGTGTGATATCTCGTTCCGCGGGCGCAACATTTGGGGACTCGTCCGGGATAAATCAAGCATAATGACAGAACGGAAAGCAAATGAAGCTGGAATAGTGTCATGGAAAAGACTGCGGCTGCGAGGAATGACGCCACTGGGTTCTGCTGAAAGGACATCATTGTCCGAGACTTCGGCACTCCAAATTGCTATGCGGGAAATACAGAAGCTTCACGCAGAACGACTACAATAGCAGGAGGAATTTCAAGTGCAGCTTCGTCAGCGGGACGAGATGCTATGAGGAATGGAGAAGCGACTTCAACAAATTGACGAAATCCAGTTAAGTCATTTAAAGAGATAGCAATAGAATATCGAACAGGGCAGCGAGAGTAAACGAATTAGATACGCGGGAATCAATTTCAAAAGAGTTAGGGTTTAAATTAAAACCAGATACGTTTGATGGGACGGGATCATTAAGAGAATTCTTCGTTTAGTTCAATTTGATAGCAAAAGCGAATTTTTGGTCGGAAAATACTAAAACTGTCGCGTTAGTTTCCTGTTTAAGGGGAAAAGCTAGGTCGATATTAGATTGTGTTATGGAAATAGAAAATTTGCAATATAGAGATTTAAAATCGAAATTGGAGTTACAATTTGGAGATGGACATCTTTCGGGAACTTATTATGTATAGTTTATTAATCGGCGGTAGAAATTCGGAGAAAATCTTTCAAATTTTGGCGCAGATATCGAACGATTGTCAAGACTAGCATATTCAGAGTGTTCTGAGGAAGTTTGTGAAAAAATAGCTTGCGCACAGTTTATTAGTGCAATCAATGATGGATTTATTAAACGAACACTACAACTAGAGGGGATAACCTCTTTAAAGTTAGCCATAGAAAGAGCTAAAACAATAAAAGAAATTAATAAAAGAATAAAGACGAAAGAAAATAATTTTAAAAATGAAAAGAATGGTTTTGAATTTTACGGGGAAAAAAAATGTTGGCAATGTGGAAAGACGGGACATTTTCGAGCGGAATATCCAACTTTAGTTAAAGAAGAAGATTAAACATTAAAAAAATTTGTTAATGTAAATAAATATTTATTTTAAAAGGACAATTTATCTATTTTAAGTTTTCATGTATTTTAAGGTAAGAAACTTCTTTGGAGGAATAAATCTGGAGAGATGGATTTCTTTCTCAATTCGTTTTCGTTTTCGATTTCGTTTTCAAGAAATTTTTCCGGACATTCTTTAAACAAAGAATTTCATTTTCAACAAGGACTGCCTCGCCCACGGTTTTTGACCGTGGTTTTTCCGTGGGCCGAAAAGCAAATGCTGAGGCAGGGACTTGAGAAGTCTTTCTTAGGGCGATGGGTCCACGGTAGATACCCCTCTCTTGCCCGAAGAATTTTAAAAAGCAGCGGCATAAGGAATTAAAAATGGTAAGAGGAAGTTAGTCGATTGGGACCTAGGATTGGTGCTCGGTAACTTGTTGCAACAGCACAAGGTAGAGCAAGAAACCAAGAGGGTACCCTGGAGTCGACGGTTTTCGAGTTCAAAGGTGTTCGATTGGGATCAAAATAGCGGCGCTCGGTAACTTGATGCAGCAGCACAAGGTAGAGCAGGAAGTCGTTAAAATGCCCTGGAGTCGACACTAGAAGTTCGAGGACAACAATTAACCTTCCTGGATTGATTTCAAGAATAATTGTCGGGACGACAATCTTGAAGAAGAGGGGCAGTGTTGCGCCCGTGCTTTTCGCCACTGATGCTGTGTGTTACAGCTGACGGACCGATCGATAATATCGATTAAATAACAATACCCCCAAAAGTTAACTATAGATCTCAATATGGTCTGGGTGAAATTTTATCGAAATCGATTAATATCTTCGACCTTAAAGTTAGTAAGTTTATGCATTTCTTGGATACGTGTGTCAAAATTCGAAAAAATATTTGAATTTTAATACAATTTGGTATTATCTATTTTTTTGGATCGCTGAGCATCCGAATCCGAGGCCAGAAGTACATAATTCAAAATGGCGGATCCGCAATATATTCTTAAGAAAAATTTCTTATTATTACGAGATAAAAAAAAATATTTTTTACGTGTTAAAATTTTTTTACATTAAAAACTTATACAAGTTTAAACGATGTATTATAAAATAAGATTTATAATTTATAATAATAATAATAATAATAATAATAATAATAATAATAATATATATATAAATTAAATTGCGTCGATATAACGTATTTTGGCAAACTCGCATTAACTTTTGTCACGATTAATCGCACGATGGTGGAACTTCATCCCACTTAGTATGAGAGCCGTCACCTCTGTCCATAGCAACTCGTTTGATGAGCTTGGGAGACGGTCTCTTGAGATTGTAAGCCCATCCGATTTTCGCGAACACATCAATGAAGAACGCTGAGTGGTTTAAAATGTACCAGCCGTACTCGGACGCTCGGTAATCCCAAGGAAACACGTGGTGATAATTATGAAAACCTTCGCCGGCCATAACTAAGCTCACACCTATATTTTCTGTCGGGCATATATTTCTAGTAACAAACACAAAATTGCGTAAAACATTTTAAGTACCGTATAAAATTTCCCGTATTAAAAAGTTTTATAACATAAAATTTTAGCATGGAAGTTTCCCCAACGGAGAAATTGGTTTAACATTCGAAAGATCTGTTCAAAAATTATTTGTCATACGATAGAGTCTCATACAATATTGAATGTATTCAGATATATCTCTTTGGAGGAACTCACTTGTCGTACGGCTTAGCACCCCACATATGAGCGAAGCTGTTTATGGCAAAACTCCCGTGTATCACAAGTAACGCTCGGATTACTTGTGACGTGAACGCTCTACTCCAAGTCTCATTCCAAAAGTATACTGGTACAAGCGTGGGCAAGATGTAGGAGAATATTACAGTTATTATCGTAACATACCTGCCAAAAATTAACTGCATTAGCACGCTCATGCATTAATTAACAGCCAAAATTGAAGATAAAAATAGTCAGTTTTTATTTAATTTTGGGTCGCTAAACACAAAAATGACCCCCATTTTGTATGATTAGTTCTCATTTCGAAGATACACAGGTCAAACGTTCAATTTTTGTAATTTCCAGAGTTGTGAGAAAGTATATGCTTTAGAAACAAGAGTGCGACAGGGTTTTATAGAATTTTGCAAATTTAGTACACTATCCATTACTGAACTAACCTATTCCTCCTATCTCATACACAGTTGATTTCGAAGAAGAGAACAGATATCTTTAAAAAACGAACTAACTAAGCTTTATATTGTCATTTTCAAATTTAGCAGGCAAAAATACATAATTGGTTGATTTCATTTTCGACATACAACTTATTAAAATTTGTTGTCTAGTGTAATCAGTGCACGATAAAATGTAAAAAAATGCATTAGTGAAGAAAAACAAATGCAATTAACTTATTCTGGAAAACAACAATCGGATCGGCCATAACATCCCGTACATCAGCTTCATGTAACTTCTGAATTATTTCGGGACTGAGTTTTTTTAAAATCCAGCCTATATGGCAGTGGAAGAAGCCGCGTCGACTGTTATGAGGATCGAGATCCGTATCGACATATCTGTGATGCACGCGATGAACTCGTGCCCAGGTAAAAATGGAGATCTGTAATTATCTCTGAAGCATGTAATTATTTCTGCTAAATTTACGTCATAAAACAATATTTATATAAATGTCTTTAAGAAGATAGTAAAAACTTTTGGTTATCAGATTCTTTAATTTAATATTTGAATATAAAAGTACATTTAAAAAAATAAAATTAATTTTTTTTAAATTAATTATTACCTGAGCGGTAGAACTGTAAAAGATAAAAAGAATAAGTCTGAGCGGTAGATTAGCGCTGTACGATCGGTGGCTCCATAACCTGTGAGCGCCGGCAGTCACACTAATACTTCCCATATCGTACAGGATAAGCGCTGAAAACACAAATAAATATTTTATTCTAATTTAATTGTACAGTATTTATTGCTGTAATATTTTGCTCAGAAAAATATTAATTCTTGAGAAACTTAATAACTACTTTACAATATATAATGCTCAAATTAAATTTTTTTCTGTAGACTTACACCACAAAATTGTCTTCAGATTTTGAAAATAATTAAACGTGATTAGACCATAAAGTGCGATGACGTGCATCGCTCCTAAATAGAAGGTCACAAACCATCTTATATTGTAGATGTTCATCTTGTGAGTTTTTTTTTCCGTAATAGTTTTCTGTTTGCACTCAACTATATCGCAAGTATCACCATGCAAATTTTTCGTGGTTATGCTCTGAATAATAAAAATCACAATTATTTAAGTCACATTTTGTTCAATAAATATAAATACATTTTGCCACATGTTAGTTGTATAAAAATACATATTAGTCAAAAATAACAACGCCACTTTTATTATCTTTTTTAACAAATGAATAATAATAACAGAATATGAATAGATAAATATGATATAACGATGCTGGTCGATGTTGGACTAGTAGATAGATCACGCACACTGTTCAACTATACTCTGATACGCTCTCATACCAAGTCCTATTGGTAAACTAGTATAATTACGATACTGAATAGTGTGCAGACATTGCTAGGAAAGAGGAGTACGACACAGCATGGCATAGAAAAGATTTCCTCGAGGCGTAACTAAGGATGCTTCAATTTAATAAAATGCATAATAGACACTTGATATCATAATTGTCTATACTGTTAAATACTGCTGTGATAATGTATCAATTTAGAATTAGTATCATGCAAAGTAATTAATGAGTTTTAATCATAATTAATGAATTATATAAAATTTATTTAGTGACTTTAAGTATTATACACGTCTTTGATATAAATAAGAAAAATTCAGCTTGGAATCATGTAGAAGTCAAAGAAAAATCGGAGAAACTTGAAAATTTCCAAGTAATGTTTATATACAACTTTTGATATGTAATTATCGTATTCGAGAGACGCAACGACGATCTCTTTGCTAGTTTAATTAGCTTAGACTTCAACATATCTTTAACTAACAATAAGTTTACTTTAGCCAAATAACCATTATGTATTCCGACTTTTATGATCTATGAAAGATATGTTATTGATTTCACATGACTTACAAATTTTCCATTTACCTGAGTTTTTACTTCAAAAATTATATTAAATATTAAACAACACTTAAAAATTGTAACTCGTTATTTTACGTACTTTGTGAGTATGGTAAGTAATCGCGCACAAAAGTACACGTATTTTCTCGCGCGTGTAATACCGATCTATCACTACTTCTTTTGTTATTCCTCTCGTCAGCAATAAAATCATATGTTTTACTCGTATGTTCGACTCTAATAGACTGTAAAAAATAGCTATCAACGCGAAAAAATGAATTTTTATCGCATTTATTACGTATTGTTTCGATGAATAAAGAAATATTTAGTTTTAATAGCAAAATTTGCACGTGAAACAAGAATTATCGTCGTAATAAATGCGATATGTGTTTACAAGGCTATCACTCTGGTACCGCATTGGCAGTCATCGCCAGTTATTTTATTAAGCCATATATATTATTAAGCCATACGATGCGTAAGTATGCAGCTATGTTTGACTAATGCAGAATAAATTTTTCTACGACTCATAAATTATGATTGCTAATTTAAATTATTTTTACATCAAATATGTAATAATCGATTTTAAAGAGACTGCAAAATTTTTTTTTTTACGTCTTTAAAAAATGCGGTGCTACAAATATTTATAGAATTCTCGCTATTCTTTTGCATGCAACAAAGTAATTTAGTCTCGTATTTTATTTGAACGGTAGAGAAATCAACCCATCGGAGAATAAACTCGTAGCGTTTTTGGCGTGTGGCGAAGGTTGGCACAATTATCATCATGTGTTCCCATGGGACTACAAGGCGGCTGAATTAGGGGATTATAAATTAAATATCACCACGATATACGTTGATCTATTCGCGAAGATCGGCTGGATATACGATCTCAAGCAACCATCAGAGAAGCTCGTGAAAACTGTCGTTACGAAAAGAGAAGACGGGAGTCATCATTGGAGTGCCGTATCGTATGCAAACAATAAAACTGAGTAATGAAGATGAATAATTTTTCAGTCGATTCAACAGCGTGTCACACGATTATGATAATTTAGACATTTATTCTACGAAAATAAATTTACCCAGTTTTTAAAACTGGAAATGTCGGAGAAATTCGATGGTAATTTGATAAAAAGCGTAATTTTTCTTTGCGAACTTTTCCTTATCGTTTTACTATGAATTAATTATATATTACATATTATTTTCATATTATTCATAATTTGTTCCATATTAAATTGTATATCATTTTAAAAAAAGATTGTTTATAAATATATATGTTCTTTATTGGGTATTGAAAGAATGTAGCCAGCTGTACACACGAATACGCATTGTTTGTCGCTTCGATGATCACAAATGACAATGACAAATTTTAATGCTCATTTGAATATTGTTTATTACAACACGTTGCTGTGGCGATTTTGTTCTTATTGCTCTCGCATATTTCATTTCTCATTGAAATGACAAAAATACTTGCACTTCCGCTTTTATTTGACAAGTTAGAATATAGGCAAATAAATTTTCTTTTAGGCCTGATGATAAATGCATGAAAGGATGTTGTTGAATGCAAATTTATTTCAGAAATGTGTGTTGTTTTCGAGACATCACATGTTATATATATGCATATATGAATGGTACAGTAAAATAAAATTTAATTAATTATTTCAATCGAAATGTACTAAAAATAATGTAGACATAGCAATTTTCAAATTTCGTATTAAATTCATTGTCACGTCGTACCCCAGATAGCACCGCGCGGTCGCTTGACGAATCGGCGCAGTCAACGAGGCTCATGTAATTCATCTGCTCGTGCATTCTCCTTTGAAGTCATGTAGTGATATTGGCGGACTTATTTTTTTAATGTTTATAATAACTTTTCATTATGTTTTTTAAATAAATATTATTATTAATATGTATAACATAAATACATAACATATGACATAAATATGTATTATTATTATATATATTATTGCTATTTATTTAAAAATTGAATAACTATTAATTATAATTATCCATATTTTAATTATCGGTGATTTAATTTTTTTTTATTTAAAATATTAGTTCTCTTTCGAAATACAAGCGGTTTATGCGTATTTATATTATTTATCTAATGCCCTTTTACTCAAAAAATAATATATTATATGTTTCTCTTTGGTTTTATACTTTCTGTATTGTTCTATATTGTCTCTCTTTTATTTCTTTCACTTTCTTCTTTCTAGCACCTTTCTTCATTCATTCTATACCTTTTCCTTCATCATTCATTATGATTTTGATGGGTTTGTCTTCCCTTGTAACTTCACAGATCGTCATCACATATTCTCCGGTTTCTTCTCCTTGTTCACATATTCTGCACAGTTTTTGGTCTTTTTCCATCTAGTATCTGCTCGTCTTCCATTCATTTCCTGTTCTGAATTTTGCTGTTGACTTAAGCCTTTCGGTTTTTCTTTTCTCTTGTAAGCATTTCCTCTTGCATCTATCTGTCATATTCTTTTGCATATTCTGATTTTCGTATTTTTTCTCTTCTTATTTTTATCATTTCTCTTTTATTTTCCTTTCTCCATTCTTTAACAACATTCTTTCCTGTGTCGTCCATTGCTTCTATCTCTCATCTGTCATTTTCCAGTCTTTGCGTATAATTTTTTTCTGCGCCATTTATAGTATTGAACCAGCCGTTCCTATCCATCTCTCTTCTGCACTTTCTGAGTATGATATTTTCTTTTTTATTTTTTCTTCATATTTCAGCACTCTTACACTTGCTTATTTTTTCTGTCTTTGTTTCTTCTCTTATTAGATATCCCGGCGTACATCTGCCCAGTCCTAGCGCTCCTCTGATATACCTTTTTTGCATTGCTTCTACCTTTATCCTCTCTTGATATCCCCATACTTCTACTCCATACTTCATAATACTTTTTACCATCACGTTAAACATTAATATTCTTTTTTCATAGTCTCCTCCAAAAATGAAGGTAAAGTTGAAGTGCCAATTTGCGGAAGTGCGTGGATGGTAAAAAGTTTTAAACACAAAACTTTGCATCTTGGCACTAGACTTCTTTTATCGCAGAAACTTGATTGCGTGATAAAGGGTATTGTATAATTTTCATATTAATATTTATATATCAGATTATTGCTTTGAAACAAAAAAGTTTGAACTATCTTATCTGCAACTCGAATAATCTATGAGGTAATTCAGTACAATGATCTACTTTCTTTCCTAGCTAAATAAAATAAAATTAATATTGAAAAAAATTTAACATGGGCATGTAAACAGATGAAATAACCATGAGAAAACATGTACGTTGTAACGCAATTTCATCAATTTTGCATGACTCATGATTTTTTTGTTTACGTGTATTAAAATTAAAGGTGAAGTACCTATTAAGCAGCTGCATTTAAAAATTGTCATTTGTTATCGTACGCACTGTGTGCTACGATGAGTAATCGTGCAAGAAGATATGTGTATTTAGGTCAGCATTAGAAATAATTAACAGTAAAACGGAAATTGCACATTGCATACTTTTTGTAGAAATAGAGAAAATTATGAAGCGACTTTAGAGGTGACAATGTTTTATACGTATGTTCTTGCTTTTCTCAGTAAATTTCGGATGTTCCTTCATCATCACCCAACCCATATTTGAATAAAAAAAGCCGCGCTTGACATTGTGAGGAATTCACATTGATATCGCAATACTTGTGATGCATATGATAGTTTTTTGCCCATTTGTATATAGTATTCTGTAAAAAAATTCGAAGAAGATTATAAGTAAGATTGTAAAGTTCTATCTATACTTTCAAATTACACATTATATATAATGCAAGCAGAGCTGTTCAAATTATTGACAAAATTGATTGAGAAATTCAAATTATCTGTGCACACGCGCTGAAGCATACCAACAGCAAAATTCTCAATGGTAACTTTGAACCATAGCATTTATGAGTCTAAAGTCGAGTTGCGCCAGTAGACACGTCAAAATTGAATATAATGAACATACCAATTATTTAACAATATATAAAAATATATTTCTTAAATATTCTATAAACATCTATAGGTAACAATAATGTAGAGATCTAACAATAAGAAGTAGAACTTAAAAAAGTTTTAACATTTTCAAAAGATTTTGAATAATTGTAACAATAATTATTTTTTGTAAGAAATTATCTTTCAATTATTTCGTAACTTTGATACGCGTTGAACGTACGTAAATTTGTTAAAAATGTTTTATACTTTGTTGTTGGTATTTATTGATGTTTTATTTATTAATAAAATAAAAAATATACAAGTTAAGTAAGTAGTGAAGGAAATATTACAGCTTTTTATTATAAAAAATAAAACAAATTCAATTTGTTACAGTAGTTAGTGTCAACGATAATTTTCAGTGTTCTATGTAATTTAAATATCGATGAATATCGCTAACATTGTGTGAAATACTTACAATAAATTATAAATCAATTTGACAATTACAAAAATTTACAAAGAAGTTACCGTGATTTATAAGTCCGTTTTCAATAATCTATAATTTATGACAGAATTTAAGATAATATTTTATTTATAATTTTGTATTTCATGCGTATAATACAGAAAAAACTAAAAAAATCGGAATAGATATACAACATATTAATGATATTTGAATTGTGTTTTTGACTAAATGTATATTCTGATTGTTCAAACATTTTTTATTATTATATAGCATAACAGATTTTTATCTCGAACTCTGTTGTGAATTGTAGATCGCCTCAAACGGGTTTAATAATATCTCATGCTAAAATTGATATCTTCTACGCGAGAAGAAACTATTCTGCTGGTGAAGCACCAATCCCAATTACTTTAATTTTACGCTGAAGATAATATTTTAAAGAGATCATATTAGAATTACGCAGTAAGTGTCCTAAAAATCTTGAAGATTTTTTAAATTTCTATATACATACTGAAATTTCTGAGACGGGCACGCTTACTCCATAATGTAGTCATAAGATTTTTAATGTAGTTGAAAGTTAGTAAACCATAAATACCAATGGTGTGCAACACAACAACTTGCAGAACAATGTACCATATTAAATTCGTTTCAAAATCGAAAAGAGCTGATTTTATCTTTTCGAATTTTTCATCGGTAGTGTCATTATCAGTGTCAACGATTTTTACGGGATTTATATCGTTGTTTAGTTCTTTTTCGGTATTTACTTTCGTGCTGGTATTGCATGCGGAAACTCACGTATTGGCATCCATTTTACTGACAAATGTCAGGAAACTGTTCTGAAAATGAAATTAAAATACATGATTATAACACTTACATTTAAAGTACGACAAAATGGAACGCGATAATACACAAATCAATCTCATATTTTTTTAAATGGAAAGGAAGAAAAGCGCTGCGTATTCTATCTGCAACAGCTTTTCCGATTCTCTGTCTCTAGCAGTTTTAAATATATGCAACTGTGAATCGTATATATTATGAATATTCTTTAATAGAAAATAAATAATGACAAATTGTATGAAGAAAGGTTGAGAAAATCAAGTACAAAAAATTTATTATTGTATAATTTATGTTTATTGCATCTTGAGAACGCATATCAACAGAACACATCAAAATAAATAACCATATACAGGGTGTTTTATTTTAATTGCCTCAGGCGGATATTTCGGAAACTAAGAGAGATACAAAAAAACGTTTTATACAAAAGTTGTAGGGTTTCGAGGGGGAAAGAAGGTGACAATGGCAGATTTTGTATAGAGAGCGCTGTTAAGATCAGGTGAAGGTAACCTTAATTTTTTTTAATGGGAACTCCCATTTTTTTATTACATATTCTTGTAACTTACCTCAAGAGCTTTTTAAAACACTATAATAAAATATTTTTTTATTAAGTACTTTTCGAGTTATAAGGCTTGAAAGTTACAGTACTTAGACATAAAATACAAAATATCTTGTAAAACATTCAATTTTCGATAATCTTGCCTTAATACTTTTATGCATAAAATAATGAAACGAATCAATTGATGTAAAGAAAACATATAGTTGCTTTTAAAAAAAAATATGCAGTTGCATGTTGCAAATTACATAATTTTTTCTTTAAATATACATTTAATAGACATCTAATAGACGTTTCTTTGACCTGTATTTCTCCCTGGGACATGTCAAAATTGAGATCATTGGAAAGTGGTCTCCTATTCAACAATTTCAATATACAGAGTTATACGAAATGTTATACGAAAACATACAAAAACGTGTAAATTTAGAGACTGTCATGGTGATATATTTAAACACTTAATGTAAAAAAGTAACTTTATGACATAAAATGTGTAATATCTAACAAAATATTAACTTTTCAAACATCTTATTCTATTTTTTTTATACAGAATAATGAAAAAAATCGATTTCCACTAAAAACAGTATATAATTCTATTTAAAAAAGTACAGTTGCATCTTATTAGTGCATGGATGCATTGTTCGAAAAAATATAATCACGGAATAATAGATTATACTAAGCAATGAAAGATTTTTCTGCACTATATTTATCTGTATTTATAAATACAGATTTATGTTGCTAGCTTAAAATAATTTATTTAATACATCTTTATATAAAATGTTAAAAAACACTTATTAAACATTATAATAATTGAAAGAAATAATATATTATATATTATAATAGAAAAACTAAAAGTTTACAAAAATATAACTCAAATAAAAATATGCGAATGATTAGATTTATGAATTAATTAAAATACTTTAGCATTATAATATAAATATATTATATAAATAATTATAAAAAATATGTTTAAAACAATTTTACACCTTATAAATTAATATATTTTAATAATTTCATATCTTACTTTTTAAGGAATTATTGCTTGTTATGAATTAGAACGAGATCTACGATATCTTCCATTTTCTTTTACATGAAACATTGCGTTGAGCTTGCTAATAACGTTCTTTGTTCTGTCATAAATAAAATTATCCATTTGGCCCAAAATATTGACAAATTCAATTATTTTATTGAATTCACGATTTATTTTTCCGGATCTCTCATCATCAGCTCCTTTTATTTGTAACTGTGATTTGTCGTTTAATGATGGATGATTGATAGCACTTGCTAATAATATCTGTTTGACAAAGTTTTTATTAAATAACAATATATATCAATTAATCAAATCAAATTATATTAATCAAATTATATTTAAAAGAATTGTTTATCAATTTTTCACTTTCTATACTTTGTTTATCACTTTCTATACTTTCAGTACTTTTACTTAACTTAATCTTACCGTATACATAATAGAAATCAGAAAAAATATCTTCATTTTAACAAAAAATACATTTATGTCTTGTCTTTTCGTAAGAAACAACTCCAAGGTTTTAATACTTTTTGTAAAAATAATAACTAATAAGAATAAAGTAGATGTATTCTCTCTCTTTTATCAATATCGAGGTTTCAACTAACAATGAAACGATTCGATGATTCTCAGTCTTTTATAAAAGGTGAGCATCAGCGTATTATATTGGTGGACGAAATGTTAACTGTTCCATTAATATTTTTTTTGCTTTAAAACTAATTTTGCTACAAATAAAATAAACATTTTTAAAGAAGTGATCTTAATACAATAAATAAGAAGTTTCTTATTAATTTTATAATAATTACATTTTCTAAGTTTTTGTGTTAAATAAAATTATAATCAATTTAGAACAACACATGGATTCAGGTCGTTTCGGATCGGCAAATTTTTCTGGTGAATCAATTTCATTGCCTCACGTTAACAATACGAAATCAAAGTGGAATCTGCTGAATAGGTATAATCATTTATGACGATGCCACCTATTATTAAACTTAATAATGCGAGAAAAAAATAAAATAATTTCCGCATTGATTGCGTTATAAAACAGACACAATGTTTTTTAATCTTTATATTACTATAGAAAGCAATCTTTAAATTACTGTAGAAAGTTGTTTAAGAAACAAATAACTGTAAGACTGTTATTAATTTCTTTATTTATAAAAATTTATTGATCTGTTAAGAACTATAACCAAAAATAAATATAAATAATTTTAATTACACATACAGTTATCCAGGAAATCAATTTTTAATGCTGTCTTATTTTTATGTTTGCGTTAGCAAAGTTTGTTGAGATCTAATAGTTTTTTTGTGACAATAACACTAAAAAGTTAAATTGCTTAATATAAGAAAAGTTCAATTAATAATTTAATAAAAAAATATCTCACATAAATATCTCAAATTTACGACAGCTTTTTTAAATAAATTATAAATATTTGCAAGATTCGTGAAAATAAATTTTTATTTATTTTGTATTTATTTTATTGTATTGGGGCTAAGTATGGTAGAACAATATTTCTTGCGTTATTGTAAAGGGCAGAGTTTCGATTTCAAAGCCTATGTGGAAATATTTTTCGCTTCATTCTTGTCTTTTTAGCGGAAGATTACAAGGTCAGGAATTTAGACTTTATACACAATCCGATTTTGGTCTTCACAAAAAAAAAAAACAATTTGATAGGGCAGACAATGTAATCATATTCATCTTAAAGTTGAGGCTTTATCCTTTAAAACGCATCTAGAAAATATGTTCTATGATCCCCCGAACCTGAAATACGGTCTCTCTTACTCTTAAAAATACTCTTAAAAATCGGCATAATTCGTAAGTTTTAAAGCACTTCTTTAATTTTTTGGCGTAATGTTTTGTATGTCAATGATTTCCCAGTTTTTCAGAATGAAGGAAATTTACAAAAAGATTTTAACAATTGTACAGCCGATCAATACTTTTCATCGAGATGTCGATGATTTCTCTTCTAAAAAATAATTGTTAATTAATATTTTTTTGCAAATTGACATGAAATGCCATTAATTAATGCTTCTTATTATGTATTCAGCCAACGTTTATATTAAAAAACTATATTTGTTTCAATTAAGAATATATACATCACATATCATATGCATCATATTGGTGAAGCCGTAAAATTTTTATAGATGTTTTTATTATTTCTTTTGAATATCTGTCCAAAACTCTAAATATATTTTACTGATTAGTTTGAAAATTATTTAATTTTATGTTAATATTATTTTATTTTATTTTAACATTTACAATTTAATAATTTTGCTTATTATTTTATTTCTTGCAGTTAATTTCAGTATTTCCACCAAAAATATTTTCTTTTTCTTTTTTTGTTAATTAGAAAAAAATATATTATTCAGAAATATTTTTGCCACTAAAACCTTTGTTATTTACAACTTTAAAACTCTTGTTAATTTATAATTTTATAACTTTCTGCACAATCTAAATCTACTTACTTGATTTTTTTAGTGTAAAAGAATATATTATTTTTAATTTCTACGATTTTTATCTAACATTGTATAGCCAATACATCCTTAATAATAATTTTTATGTTACATTATATATCAATTGTAAAAGCAACACAACTTGTAAAGAAAAAAATAAAAGAGTAAATAAGAAAGAAATAAAAACATTTTAAAAAACAACTCTGCAAGATAGGATTAAGGTGTATAAATAAGAATCTTATTATAATAATGCATAAACGACTACAAGTTTGAAAAAAGTACAGACATGGACAATCGATCACGTATATTTATTAGATAACAATCATTCATCAGTTATTAAGTCTGTTTACAATACAATGTGAGATTATCAAGCTGATTCGAGATTCGATTTCCTTGCATTTTTCTTTACGATATTCATACACAAATAATTTAAGAAGTGATCTTCTTAATTTTGCGGTTGTGGCGTCGCTGCTTGTTGCAACTGATTACTTAAATTTTGAGATTCATGCACTGCGATTTCCGCTATCTGCTTAGCGATCTTCTTAAAATCGTCTTGCACTTTGCCGGCATTTTCATTAGCAATCGCAAAGGCATTCTGGGACTCGCTCACGATGGATTGGACACCTTCTTGAAACTTAGTACGCAGCTGAGCTACCTGTTCCGCAGTCTCGGGATTAACGTTCAATTTTTCAACAGCTTCAGACAGTTTGTTCTTCACGTTTGTCCAGAGATTTTCGAGCTCGGGGGCTTTAGCTTTAACCTACAAATAATCTCTTATATAACTGCACGAATATTTCAAGATTTTTTAAATTACAGATATATTTAAAAGATTAGAAATTTAAATTTAAAATAAATATTAATAATAATAATAGACGAATGTAAGCCGATAATGTTAAATTTAAAGGTGCGAGAAATACAAGATTAATTTAAAAAATTGAATTATCTTAATGCTTTTTTCTTATTTTTTGATGCATTTCTTTCTTCAAGCTTTCAGGATCTTAAAATGCATGTGTTAAAATATTTTGTTTATAAGGTATCGTGCAGAATTAATTTCGTATAATAACTAATTCAATTTCAAATTATTATAATAAAACTAAATACAAAAAGATATCGAAATAATAATATATTAAATTTTTTATTTTTATTATTTTTTTTCTTAAATTACTTGTTTATGCTGATCTTTGATTGTAATATTTCTTATGCAATTTTAAATGTGCTAATCAGTTGCAATAAATTAAGTTTGTAAGATTTTCTATCATTTTTTTCGATCAGATTGCTATCATTTTTATCACATACAAACTGTACGTGATTTTAGTACATTTTTTTATTCTAACGTTAATATAATAAACAATTTTGGTGCATAATTATCAATTGACATAATTTACTAAGAAAGAAAAAGCGAAAGAAAAGTAGCATTATACATAGTTTAGAATTTCTTCAGATATTATTAAATTTTGCAAGTGGAAAAACAACGAAAAACGTGTTGACAATTTATCGTTCAATTAAGACTCCTTTTTTATGTATTTACAGGCATAATTCTATTCTTTTCTAATAGCACAAAGCATCGAAAAAATGCTTCATCAATATCAATAATATTTAAAATAAATATATTATAAATGTACTATATTAAATCGTATTGCAAATTTTGTTGTTTTCGCAATTCGACGATTAATTTTTTTCAAAATGTCCATCCATATCAAATATTTACTGCAAATCGATCCAAGATATCGGTAAGCTAATTAATTTTTCTTGCTAATTTACTTGGAGCACAAACTTCTATTCTATGCGAAGAATTAAACAATGTCGCTATGATTTTTTCCTCTAATTTAAAAAAATGTGTATTTTTAGATAGAAGAGACCAAGAGATGTTACTGCAAACAAATAAGATAGTTTTTAATCCCCATTCGCCATACAAGTAAAATGTATCATATATATGCGATAAATATCTATTAAATGAATTTACAACAGTAAAATAATTACTGTAACTACTCAGACATTCGCCTTGTTGATTAATAATGATCGATTGCAAAAAAATATTAAACACGAAATATAATGTATGTACATTATTGTTACAATTCGCTCACCTCTTCTGTCGTGTTTGTGATATATGACTGGAGATTATTGGCTAAATTGGTACTGTGTTCCTTCATAGTGTTGAAAAACTCATCTCGATTAGGCAAGTTTAAATGTTCCTGAAGCTGACTTGTCATTGCAGCTAGATTATTTTGGGCCTCTCTGATGTAATCGCTGAATTGGACTGGTTGAGTGTCGGTTTGTTGATTTTCACTGGTTGGCACAACCTTGGCCTCAGCTGTAACCAGAACAATGGCTACGATAATCGCAGGTAAGCACTTCATTTTGCTCTGGTATTTTCCTCTCGGTCGATTAGAAAACGACTGATGCGCAGGATGAACGTTACATTCCCTTTTATAGGCATTTCTTATCAAAGGGGGCAAAGTGCTTATTATCGACGACAACGACCTGCGTTCTCTCTCGTTACGTTCTTAAAGAAAAACTCTGAGTCTGGATTTTCTACTCTCAATGAAAAATGCCTAGCATTATCAGAAACTGGAATAATCATAAATTTAATTTCGAGATATTTAAGACTTAATATTTTACTATATATAACTATGTGACATGTTAGTCGTAAAATCGAATAAAAGAAGAAAATAAGGTTATTATTGTAAATTAATTAGTTTATTAATTGTTATAATTATAATTAGTATTCTATTATTGTTTTAATTTGTATAAAAAGGCGATTATTTTTTGTAATATTACTTTTGTGAATTAGAAAAGGCTAGTAATTAATTACTTTTTATTCAAACAATATTGAATATAATTTAAAGTACATATATAAATTTTTTAATAAATATCTAAATAAAATTTTATTTGAATAAATAAGCCATAAATAATACACACATACACATACATATAAAAAGAAATGCATATTATATATTGCTTTTAGTTCTGCTTTTAACACTAATAAGTTAGCGTTTTTAATTTTCAACTCAATGTCAGTTAATTACCAAACTCGATGGTTTATCTTGCACAACAATTCACGCGTAGGCAATTATATTTGTAAATTAATCCATGTTGTTTTTTATACTTCTATTTGTTTTTATTATTGGGATGTTGTTATAAGCTTTTTTATGGTTATGAGAGAACGATTTTACTTATGCATAAAATAATTAATATATTAATAACGTGCGGGACCAGAATTATTGACATTAAGAAAACAAATTTATAAATAAAATTAAGTAATTAATGTTGATCATAATGCTATTATAAAAAATAAGTATCATATATTTATAGAAAAGTATAAAATTATTATAAAGAGTAATTTATAGAAAAAAATAAAAATGATTATACTTAATATCAGTTTTTTAATTATCTTTTTAAACAAAAAATTTTGAAAATTTGTTGTACTACATAGTACACACTTGACTTGTAATCACATATGAAGTAGTTTACGATTTTTTATATCGCTAACAGAAATATCGTTAAAAACCGTATTTTTCAAATCTCACTGTTGTTTCTCGATTATTTGATTTTTAAGAGGTTTAAAGATTTTTTTATGCTTTTTTTCTGATTATTGCAATGTTTGTTTGGAATTATATTAACATTTGAATTTGTTAATTATCTTTAAATTATTCTATCACATTAATAATTTAATGATTCGATATTCTTGATATTCGCTGATAAAAAGTACAAAAATTCCAAGTTAGACTTAGTTAAGTTAATCTTTAGACGTTATTCTTACACGCTTTTTTCTAGTCTGTTTCTTTCTTACAAATGTACAAGATATGAGATATCTTATCGATTGACTGTACTAACATATTTATATTTACTTCATTTATCAGTAGACGAAAACCTTGAAAAAAAATCTTCCATGTTTGTCATTTCGATATTCTGTGATGTAAGATTATACAATTTATAAATACAATACTTTCTATATATTGGACTATTTGGTCATTTCATTAGATCATTTTCAGTATAATTCAATATAATTTCTACACTAAAAATTATCTTATAGAATGACCAAAACGTTTGTAAATATATGAACAAATAAAATATATAAACAAATAGAATATAAAATTGCATGAATAACTAACTTTGGTCTTGTAGCTTAACAAAAACTATTGTATTTACTAAGGCATTCAGAGCTTATTAAATTTAATTATATAACATTTATATTAGTTAAAGATGATTACATTATATATTAAATTATTATAGTTGTAAAAAATTTAATTTTATTATCATATTTTGATTAATATTTTCATTATTTAAATGCAGCTTATATGATGAGCTTTATAGCAAATTGCATACAATATTAAATGAATCGATGACTGATTTTGGATAATGTTAAGCAAAAATCAGAGTTCAAGGCAAGATCAAAATTATTATCAATTTGAGCTGATTAACAGGAAACGGCATCTGTTCTTTGCTCCACGAGACATTACATCAGCCGGATAAAGATATGTTTAGACGAATGTACATGTACATACACATATATGTATGTAAATATGAATTGCTGACTCCGCGATGACGTCCACAGACTTACATTTTTTTAAACAGAGGGCAGAGAGCTATTTCAAATGCTGTTTATTTGATATTGCATCTATTCTAACTTTAAACATTATACAATCGTTATTGATTATTTTTATTTAAAATTACTTATCTATTGTTTTGTACAAAATAAATAAACTAAAACGAATCAATTTTATTCAATCTAATATAAGTTTCAAACTTTAAGCTGCCACAGTTTATTTAAGAATTTAAAAATTCTCCTCTTATTTTTTCCTTTTATTAAGATATAATCTAATCGTCTATTAGATGTCTATTAGACGTTTCTTCGACCTGTATTTCTCCCTGGGTGTAGATCATTTTTATTTTTATTTGAAGATCATTTTCTATTATGTTAGTTAAAATAATTATAATTAAAGTAAGATTATTGAAATTTTTATTTAAATACATCAAAACATTAATCTGACTTCTAATTTTAGCTTAACTGAATGTCAAACTTTAAAGATTAAATCAAATCAATTTAAAATATAAATTTAAATAATATTTTAATAACAAATAAATTATTTGAATGCAATGTATAATAAGGATATTTAAATATTTATTATAACAAGTAAGTCCTGAAACGAATCATTTGAACAAATCGAACAAGTCATTTAAACGAATCATTATAGGCCTTATCTGACCTATAGGGCTTATCTGACCCCACCTGGGTCATCGCCAGGGTGAGGCAGAGATGTGTATTGTCGCCGTTATATTTTCTCATCGTCGTCGATGAGATTTTGGTTGAGACAGTCGACAGCGTTTCAAATAGGGGGCTGCTCTAACGTCCTATCTGCATGGAGCACCTGAGTGACCTTGTTTTTGTCGATGACATCGTGTTAATGGTCGCATTGATATGCAGGAAAGATTCAATGATCTGTCCACCCACTCTGAAGGCAGTGGGCCTGAACATCAGTATCGCGAAGACAAAGTCAATGGAGCTGAACGCTGCCCATCCCTCCGACTTTACGGTAGCCGGTCAACCGATTGGGAAAGTTGACACCTTCCAGTATCTTGGCAGCTAGATTGTGCTGGACGGCGGCACCAAGATCGACGTATCCACATCCGGATAAGAAAGTTGGAACTCGTCTTCGCGAGTTTCCGAAACATTTGGCTCGGGCCAGATCAACTTGCGTACCAAGATCCGAATCTTCCAATTCCAACGTGAAGTTCATACTGCTCTACGCGAGTGAAATATGGTGCATCTTCGCAGATATCACGCAAAAATTGCAGACTTTTGTAAACTGATGCCTGCGTTATATCATCCGAGCCAGATGGCCGCACAATTGGATCTCAAACGCTGATCTCCATCAGCGGTGTCGCCAGAGACCGATTAAAACCGAGATTCGAGAGCGCAAGTGAAGACGGACACATCTTGCACAGGGGCGCAGATGAGATCTGTAGACTGGAATCCTCAGAGACAGCGCAAGAGAGACAGACTTTTGATTTTGAGGGAATATCGAAACTATAAGAAATATAAAAAATATATTTTAAATGAAAATGTTATTGTATTTAAAGCTCTTTATAATCGTGCATTTAGATTTTCCAAAAAATGATATACTTTTTAATATACTCTCACCCTTCTCTATTATCTTTGCTAATTTCAAAATTTTTGTAACAACAAAAGTTAAACAGTTTTTTATGCTAAAACCATTTATATATAATAATTTTATTTTTTGAAATAGCAGTTTTGGGAAATAAATTATTAATACCATGTTATGTGTGCTGCATTATATATATGCTGCGCTTGTTCCGCGCAGTACTTCGACTAGCTTGTTTTACATCGTCTTGTATTACAAAGTAACAACGAAGGTAATTATTCGCCAGTATATGGATGCATAATAAATAAAGTCAATAATAACATATTTGACGATGTTAATTTTATTCAAATATCTTCAATATACTTGTGAGATACGAAAATTATATTTATATAAATATAATATATATTATAACATATAATAGTGTATATGCAATACATAAATATAATACATTTATAAAACAAATTGATCACAAAGATGATGTTTATGTGTAAAAAGTGTCTTATGCAAAATAATTTTTTGTTTTACAAAATAATTATATCAATTATGTCACGAATGTTTGGATAATCGCTATTTCATGAATCTTATAATAAAACTAACTTTGGTCCTATGTTTAGAAAAAAGATTTGTTTTGAAATAAATTTCAAAATAATGTGTTCCGGATATTTTTGAAGATTATTAGGGATGCACCGGATAGTGATTTTACCGGATAGCCGGATATAGGATAAACGTATACTCTCGCGACCGGATACCGGATAATCCGGCTGGACACTATTTTTTCGGATAAACCGGATATTATCCGGCAGAAACATTCCAATATTTAAAAAATGGAGTTAATTATCAATTAAATAAAGAAAAGAAAATATTATTATTTACTTTAAAATAATATTTTATTGTCAATTCTCTTGATTGTTAAACAGTTATTAAAAATAAAAATTAAATATTTAAATTTTTTATTATAAAAATTAGCATTTCTGCATTGTCTGGATGTAATTTATTTTGATGGTCTGTGTAAACGTTCCCTGCGGAACTAAATAGTCTTTCTGAATTTACTGAAGAAGGTGGAGCACTTAAATATTTCAAAACAAGATTTTTTTAATTTGGAAATTTAGAATGATGTTTTTTCCATCACGATATGGGATTGTCTGTCCTTTTTGTTAGCGGTAATACTAAATATTTCTTGAGTTCAGTTTGATATATTTGCCTTTTTTTCTTAGATCTGTCACTAAGTTTTCTTTGAAATTCAACTTGTCCATTAGCTATTTCTTCGGTAATACTCGCATTAGTCGCATTTGGATTTTCGGTATCCGGCCGGATAAAAGAAAATATCCGGCTATTCAGTATTATTCGGCAGAGGCCGGATAATACAGGATAACCGGATACATATCCGGTATCCGGTGCATCCCTAAAGATTATTATGATTAGACGTTAAAAAATATACTTAAAGAATACTGTTAGTATTAATATAGTAAAAGTCTTTTTTAGATAACTGTAATAAACATATTTGTATTGCTAATATGTGTGGTAAAGATCTTTATGCCTCACAGGAAATGCTCCCAGAATACATTGTGTGGAAGATTCTATGAATATCATGGTATTAGCTACAGTACAGATTAACGCGAAACACTATTGTGTTTCTTGATACATACTCTGTTATCCACCAGAAGTTTTTTTTTTTAACTATTGCAGTTGTATATAAGTGATTATTAGTACATTTTAATTAAAATATTGTTTGTTATATTATTAAAACGCAAAAGGCATTCTTTCATATAAAGGATATAAAGGGCAAAATTTTTGAAAATAATTATTTCAAAATGTTATTGTGATCTCAATAAACAGAGAGTTTAACCATAAAATTTGTATATAACATATTTTTTTATATTTTGAATAATTATGTTAATATATAAAAAAAAAAGTCAAAAACTTTTAAAAAATTGTTTTACTTCTTAAAATCATTTTTTAGCATCAATCAAAAAATTTTTTATTTATGTATTTACTTCATCTACATAAGTGCAAAATTTCATTAAAATTAGATCTTTCGGATTTGCGAAATTACTTTGTTAGCTTTAAAATTACTTCTTTTTTTCTGTACAATAATTGTTTACAAAGATACAAAGATCTAAAGTTTAGAGACCATTTTTCCTTTAATTCTTGATAATACGACAAAAAATGATGCATTAACTGTCAACCACTCAAATTGAAGGGAAGCTTTCAAGCTATTTGAATATATGTCATAAAACTTTCATCAAATTTTTTTTCCATGGTGTGCATTCTCGTAAAATTCAGCAAAAATGTTTATTATTTGAACTCTATTTTTGCAAATTAAAATAAGAAAGAAAAAGATAATTAAATTCTGCAAAATTCACTTGAAAGTAGAGATTTGAAACTTTAAAATACTTTTTAAAAAACTTGATACGACTTTTTGTTACAGCCGTTTAAAAATGGCCTTGTTTTTCAACGAAAATCAAATAGTCCCTCAATTTTTTAAAGAAGTGCGTGCGCGCGCACGCGTGTGTGTATGTGTATGTAAACAGATAGAAAATAGTATTTGAAAATAGTATATGATTTTTACTTGTTAATAAGATATTAATATAAAATAAATACTATTTTCTCCTTGTTTCTCTAATTCTTCTGTATTCTTTAATTTTGACAAACAGTTGGTCGAAAATTTAAAATTGCACAATGGTTTCTTGCCTATTTTTAATATTATACATATTATCTAATGAAGTGTGAAATATATTCATGAAAACAATTTTGTATCTTCATACAATGGTAACTTTTTTTATTTATTAAACATTTTGTGGTACATACTGTGGTTGATAATATCAATTTCATCACGGTATTAACGCATGTTTTAAAAAATTTTTTTTTCGTTTTTTTAATTTTATTCGATAAGTGTTAACTTTGATAAGCGTATCATGGATTACAATTTTATAGATGAGAATTATATTAAGTTGAAGATGCCACAAGATAATCTTAATAATTAGCTCTCTGAGACTTTTAGAGTAAAACGTGATATATTGCGAATTTCATCTGTTAAATTTTAATAAAAACTTAATTTTTGATTTGTAAAATACTAAGATATCGAAAATTTAAAAATTATAACATTAAAATTTTTAAAAATCTTTAATATTAGAATATGTGGCGTCTTCAGAATACATTAACTTTGGTTGAATATAACCTGAGTTGTGTTTCTGCTCTGAGACTGATTATCCGAACAAGCCGCGGATTGCATCCGTTACTTTGTTCGTCTTTTTATTGGCGTCCTTACGCATCTCGTTTAATTTGTTAATGATGTCTTCTGCGTTTTTTGTTAGATTGTCCGAAATTCTATCCCTGGTTTTCTTCAACTCATTAACAATTCCTTCTGCTTTATCTGCAATGTCCTTGACAGTGTCTTTGATTGTTCCACCGCCCTTTTTGAATTTGTCCTTCAATAGATCTTTGAAATTCTCAGCGGTCTTTGCGAGTTCTTCGCCAATCTCAGTAAACTTCTTGGTAATTTTCTTAATGAAATTTTCCATCTCAGTTATTGTGTTTGTGAATTGTTCAGTGAATTCGTTTTTAATTTCTTTAGTGACTTCTTTCATATTTGTTCCAAGTTTTTTAATTTTGTTACTGGCTTTCTCCAAAGCGTCTTCTAGCTTCTTGCAAAGCTCTTTTTCATATTCTTTCACATTTGTGTTTATCTCTTCAATCAGATTTTCAGCCTTCTCCTTCCATTCACTCAATTTGTTACGAAGGTCCGTGATTTTGTTTTGTAGTTCGCCCTTGAGCTCTTTAGGTTTTTCTCCTAATTTCTTGCGAATATCTTCAATCAGTTCTTTTGTCTCCTGTTGAAGTTCTTCGCCCTTTTTTTTCATATCTTCTAGCTTGTTTTTGATGGTTGCTTCTACATTTTCTACATATTTTTCAGCATTTTCCTTGAAACCCTCCAAAATATCTTTGCGCGTATTTTTTAACTGATCAAGTGTAGATCTTACCTTCTCTAGCAGCTTTTCTTTTGACTCTTTAGCCTTCTGTTTCAATTCTTCTACAGCTTTAAGAAAATCCTTTAGACCTTCTTTACCATTAGTTTTTATATTTTTTATAGTTTCTTCCAATTTATCTTTAAAAATATTCTTTAACTCGATTCCTTTAGCTTCCATTCTTTCAAACTGTTCTTTGAAAATATCCTTGGTATTACCTTTAGCTTCTTCAGTGAGCTTCTCTAATATTTCACGCAACTTTTCAGGTTTGACAACGTCATTGAACTTCTGGAGGATTTCGTTTTTTGAGTTCTTGAGCAGTTCTTGAGCTTTCTTTACTTTTTCATCTACATTTCCAACCCACTTTTCCTTACATTCCTCGTAATTTTCTATAATTGTCTTCAAGGTCTCCTTGACAATCCCTTTGTCTGACCCAAATTCTTCTATAAGCTGTTTTAGAAATTTATCAGACTTCTTCTTCGATTTTTCTAATGTATTCTTTAATTCATCTTTTATTTCCTCAAACTTTTCTGATATCTTGTTTTTAATATCAGACACCGATTTAAGTTCATTTTGCATATCTTCAGTGCTTTCTACTTGCACCGGATTAGCCTACAAGGAATTATATAAACAACAGTTGTTTTATTTGCAAATATAGATAAAATCATAATACGTTATAATTATAAATTATATACATATTACAAAATTTTAAAAGTCACACTTAATAAGCCACACACAAAGAATTATATATTATATATTATCCAAAACATTGCAATATTATATATTTTTAATTATAAATGAATATATCTGTTGCACGTTAAAAGTAAAAATTGTTTATATAAAAGAAATTTATTTAATTTCTAACAAATATTTATAATTATTGCTTAATGTACATGTCAATTCCGGTTAATTAGGACACATCAGGCCGTATCATTTTGACCCAATTAAGTAGCTACCTCAATTATCTAAGTTTGATTTCAAAATTTAAAAAAGTGAAAAAGTTTATTTAGCATTTTACAAAGCTACGACTTATTTATTCAAATAAATTAAATAACAAAATATAAAGGATGAATTTAATATAAAATATTTTTAAAGTGCTTCCACTTTTCTATATATGTACATTTATTTAATTTTATTACTGTCACAAGAACGATTAATTACCATCTCTCTTCGAAATAACATAACAAACTGTTATGTTATATATAAATAGCATAGCATGTAAACATGATTAATGTTATCTACTGTTAAATATTATAATTTTTCTAAATAATGAACCCGCTAAATTCTGCATGAGATGTTTCCAGGTTTGGCAAGTATCCCAATTATACGGCATACTGTCCCAAATAAACGAAGAAAACCCTGGTCATTTTATCTATTAAAATTTATTTTTTAAGATTTGTCCCAAATAAACGATTGCCTGAATTACCTGATAAACCGGTGATGTAATTAAGCGGAAGCGACTGTATATATCTAAGATTAAATTTACTTATTAAAAAAATTACTTTTTTTTTTATTTTTTACTAAAATATATGTGTGAGCATGTATATAAATAATAATTAATAAGGTTAGCAAAAATTTGAAAAATGTCACGTGCCTGCAAACGCGGTTTTATTGGTTAACGCCACAAAGTGCATAAAATAAATTTACAATTTGATGCTTTTCAGATGCTTATTTATAAGTTTTTTCATACATTGTTGTAACTGTCATCATTGTCTATCTTTATGCAAATGTCAAGTTTTTTTATATTACTTTTAAAACTTATAGTTTTATTTGGAATAATAACAAAATTTTATATATAAGTCCATTGACAATCAATGCGTTTCAATTTTCTTCAATATCACATCACGTATGTAACATTTAACAAATTTTAATCATCAATACAAATTTCTCTATTTTCTGACATTCGCCGAATTGTATAGTATTTGCATTTTTAATGACATACCTGGCTTATGTAGCACAGAGCCGCTAACACAGTCACTAGGAAAACAATGCGTGCCATCTTGAATTTGGAAAAATTAAAACAATATGATCGAAGAGACAGAAGACCGGCTACGCCGGAGAAACCGAAGATCGGGAATCGTGATAAGTAACAATCACTCGAACGAATACGTTTATATATTAGTCGTAACTTGTTTATTATACCTGTTGCTGGCATGCTTGCGGTTTTATTTTAGCTCTCATTAATCGATCCATTATTTGAGATGGCACACCTGCGCTAACTTGGTTTGAATAGCGTATGCGTGTACTTGTGTATGCGTGATAAAGACACATGATAAATTAATACGGTTAATTACCAATTCGACAAAATTATGCCAGATATCGCATTAAGTCTGACGTACATTTTTTCACTCCGGTAGAAAATACGATGAGTATATCGTTAATCAGCAACTTGCAACAGTCCACAAAAGATAGTAGATGGAAAAACATGTCATCGATGATTTGTTTCAATTTTGTTTCTCAGTTTAATTGATGGCACACGTTTGCTGCAACCCTAATATTTTCACTCGCCATAATGTTAACAATTCTTCATATTACTTATATTACTTTGAGGAAATTAAAAAAATATTTATATAAAAAATTCAGTTTTACTGGGTTTTAAGGAAGGTAGAAAGGTTTGACGATTTAAAAATTCGAGTTAGACAAATTCTAGCTTATTGTTACAAAATAAAAATTCAATTTTTAAAAATCAGGCTAATTATTCAACGTTTTGGCAATATAAAAAATATATTAAAAATTTTTAAAATATTGAAGTTTAAAATCAATTCAACCTATTTCATCTTGCTATGTATTGTAAATCGTAATTCGGCAGAAATTAAGATTTTTTAATTGTTGTAATTTTAAATTATTAAAAAACCAAACGCCATTTTCTTTAGTAAAGCAGCATTTTTTGAGATTAAAGATAGATTAATTTTTAAAAAAAGTTTAGAAAAAATTTGCAAAATGGCGGCAAAAAATTAGAAAACTTGAAGAAATTAAATGCTTTTTATTGCAATAAAAATTTAATGAAAAAGATTTTTACTATAATATTTAATTAGATCTATTAAAAATTTAATTTTTTTTAATAAAAAAATATCTCAATATCTTTGTCTGTTTTTGAGTTATTTGCAAAACTGTCAAAAAACATTGTTTCGAAAAAGATATATTTATAAAGTTTTGATATATTGCACGCGATGGTTTAACTCCGGCCTTTCCGATTGTTTATGCATTGCTTCATGTTTCTTTCTTTCTTTCCTTACTAATTTTTTAAATTTTTTAATTTATAATCAACAAAAAAAAAAATTCTTTAAAAATCATGCTAGTAAAAATGCCAAAAAAAACTAATGTTTTAAAATTTTTTAATCTGTTTATTTCCTTAAGAGATAATAAACATACATATACATACATACGTACATACGTATTTCTTATTTTTATAATATATAATATTATCAATTTAATAATTTGTGTCGTGAAATAAATTATTTACAATTAGTAAATAAACCATATAAATAAATATATAAATATATATAATAAATTAAATTAAATTATTATATTAATTATATTTCTTATATATTATTTTTATTACTTTCTTATCTTTTTATGTTTTTTACATTATCTGTAACTAGCAATGAGTATTGGTAACATACATTGATAAATTTCTTTCATATTTAGGTAATCTAATAAATTTTTCATATTCTTTCAGTAAATTGTATATTTTTTAATATTTTTTATCATGATCTTGTTTCAAATCAGTTTGAAACATATTTTAAATCATTGATTTAACACTAAAAGAATATTCTATAAAATAGTATAAAAAAAATTAAAGGTTTAAGATAATTACAGGTTTAGATAATTAATTACGTCATATTAATAAGCAAAAATTGAAAATTATTTACCACTATAAATATCAGCATTGAACAATGAATCTCAATATATTACAATATCTAGAGATCTTGCAATAAATATGCTTTTAAGAATTCTGTTTTTTATTTCATGATGATAACAATTTATCAAATTTCAAGTATAAAAAAGTTAAAAAATTGAATTTTTTACTCCACTGTAGTATCTAGAATGTCTATAATGTTTTCAATAATTTTATTGATGATATCTCGATAAATTTCTTGGAACTTGATCATTTCTCGGTATATTGTTAACATGTGGTGAAGAATCAACAAGTCAATAATAATTTGCATCGAGATGATACGATTTCTTCTTGTGTACTTATTCAAATCAATACTTGTACAAGTGGTAATTATCAATACGAGAGAACAGGTTATCTCATGATACACTGTTGCAGTGTTACGCTTCGCGTTATATGATAACTCGTCAGCGAATTTTTTAACCAGTCTGCGTGATTGCGAAACCGCATAACAATTACTTAAATAAGTATGCATAATAATTGCGTACGCATACTGTTAGAATTTATAATATATGCATATATTGGTAATATTTCTATAAACTTATAATAATATATTGTTTAATAATAAAACTATAATCACCACTCGTTATATAAATCATATTCTAAATTTTCATGTATATTTTTACATCCGAAAAAGCTGTTCAGATATTTTGTTTCTCAAAGTGCAGCAATTTGCATATAAATCACAAGATTTATAATATTATCGCAAATTTATATTATATATAAAACATTAGATTATATAATCCACATATTGAGAAAAAAGTATCAAAACTAAAAATTTTTTTTATTTTACTGTATGTTTCAGTATTATTGCTATTCAGATTGACTATATGTTTAGCTAAAATTATAAAGAATATAATTAAATATGTCAACAAAATCATGCTATTATTTTAAGATATGAATTTTAAAGATATAAGTATATATAAGATTATTTAAGATAAGATAATTTAAGATATATATTTAAGATATATATTTAAAACAATATATGAATTTGCATATTACTAACGTCTGCTTGATTTGAATAGATAAATATTTGTACTAACAAAAAGAAAGATTGGAAATTAAATATATTTAGCGATGTTAATAACTTCATTTTTAATATATGCACAAGTGTCATATTTATTTGATTTAAGTAAAGTGGAGAAAATTTATGTGTGTTATGACACATGTATCTTCTTTATCGTCATATTATCAAAATAACTATTACAAAATTATTACAAAATATTTCTTATCTGAAATGAATATTGCAACTTATCATGTATGCGATGTATGATCGTTTGCCACATTTGTGCAAACATGCATGCCAAATGCATACCGATACTTTTCACAAATCAAATACAAAGTTTGTTTTCATCTAACTTAATAAAAAATTCCATCAAATATTTTAATGTGAATAAATATAAAAAAGAAAAAAGTAAACGCAATGCTAAAAATCAGTGGTTTTACGCACGTTAAGTTATTAAAATTATTTATACAGAGTGTTCCACTTTAACTTTTACAATGTAATAACTCGAAAACATGACGTTTTGGTAAAAAGTGTTTCAAATAAAAGTTGTAGAGTTTGGAGAGGCAAAAAAGATAAGGATATTAATTTGACTTTGGATGGAGGTGCTTCAGAGATTTGAAGATCATCTTTATTTTTTAAAATGGAACTATCCTACTTTTTTTATACAAATTGATTCCTCACAATATTCGTCGTAAAAAGTTATAAGGGTAAGATGGCCAAGAATTGAATAGTTTAAGAGATATTTTATACTTTAATTTGACATAATTTTATATAAACTATGAAATATCTCGTTAAATATTCATTTTTCAATTATCTTACCTCAACACTTTTATGCACAAAATAATGAGAGAAATCAATTGGTGTAAAAAAAACACATAGTTATCTTTAAGAAAAAATATGTAGCTGAAATGATATTATATCATATTTTTTCTTAAAGATAACTATGTGTTTTTTTATATATTATAACTATTTTTTAATAAAATTTTATATTGATACATGATACATGATAAATAAATATTAGTATTTATATGTAATACAAATTTTTATTTGAAACTTAAGAGCATTCTTATGACTTATTTTTATTTTATTTTACAATTATGTAAAAAAAATCAATTTTTTAAAAATTATTTTTTACCAAAATAAATTGCCTCAAAAAAAAGAAAAAAAAACATAACTAATCCTTAAATTGTATAACTAACATCAAGATAAACAATTGGCAAATTAAATACTCATAATTATGCAATCAACTTTAAGTACATCTTTATTCACAATTGATTCGATTACAAGCATTTTGCATACACAATATAATGATTTAGGACTAGTTTTTTATATGTATGATATATTATACATAAAGTGTCTAGAGACTATTAAAGCCAGTGTTGACCATAACGCAAAAGAAGAGGATTATTAAGCCTCCTAACACATTGCGGATTTCTGAAATGTCTAGGCAAGAGATTCCAAATTCGTCTCCCATTGCGAATGACCGAAGCTCGTAGCTTCGGCTTGAGAAAACTGAACCTAATCGGGCTGCTACCATCGAACACGTGACCGCATAGAACTGATCTATTTTTCAAAGTGATGGCAATAACGTCGCCCGGCAGTAGATAATCGGATCCCAGAGCACCGATGATATCCTGCCTAGGCAAGACAAAATTCAAGTTGTCAGCCAACGAGGAAACAGCGCTAGCTGTGCTAGCTGAAGTTCCTCCTAATGACGTGGCGGCCGATGCTGCAGCCGATGCGGCTGCAGCCGACGGCACAGAAGAATGAATCGGTTGACGAAACAGCGGACGTCTATAACGATTGAAGTTTAGACCATATTGATTTGGTATAAATAAAGTCGGACCGCCTGTCGAAGATGAAGATGCACTACTAACGGCAGATGCACTTGCTGCTGCAGGAGACAGGACGGGTGATAGAATGGGCCTGGGTCTGTATCTGAATTGTGGTAGGCTGAACGGTAAAGGAGACGAGACAACATTCGAAGCAGCTGCAGACGCTGCAGCGGTCGATGTCACAGTGCTTCCAGGATTATTGGCGGAAAGTGCGATGATTTCCGGCGCGGTAAGAGTCGCCGCGCTCGCGGAGCTACTTGCGGATACCGCGCTTTCAACGGTGTCGATCGCTGGAGAGAAAATGGGCACTGGTTCGATTAGTGGAATCTCTACCGGTGATGATGCCGCTGCTGTCGCCGTCGCTGTCGCTGTTGCTGTAGCCGCCGAAACATCAGACGGAACAATGGATGTTGGTTCGCAGGGATATACCGTTGGTGCCACAGAAACGACGGGTGCAATCAGCGGCTGCGTTTCGGTGACAACGGACGCAGTAGCGGACGCTGAAGCGCTCGCAATCTCGGATTCAACAATAGGTGTTATTGGCACTATTGTTGGACTCATTATTGGTGCTATTACTGGCGTGGCAACGGAAGCTGCTGACGCACTTGATGTGCTAACCGCGCTGGTCGCCGTACTCGTCACTGCGGCGTTCTGTCCACATCCAAAGTAATTCGAGAAAGGCAATCTGGAAACGTATGATCTAACAGTGGAGACTGCCGAGGACGTGGAAATGCTTCCCACGCCGGTTCTGATTAGCTGAGGTATTCCGGACGCATGATAGCCGTTGTAGAAACCGCGGAGAGAAGTTAAAACTTCCGCCAATGATCTGTGATAATCCGGAATCACGTTGTCACTTGTCGTGGCTGTCGCCGTTGCTGTCGCCGTTGCAGATGTTACAGATGTAACTGATTCCTCTAATGGAAATGCCGAATGAAGTCCCAAATGATGCAATTTTCCTAGACAAAGTCCGTGCAATTTTTCTCGCAGTCCCGTACCCAAATGATGGAAAATGTGTCTGAGAACGCAGCGAATATGTCCATGAATCAACTCGCGCACGAAATGCAGTAGCTTGAAGAAGACGTGCTTAACTCGATGAATAGCACCGGTGATGCTAGGGAACGGTACGGCATCACAAAATATATCAGGTAGAAGCAGTAGATGATGAGGTTCTTTGATGATATGTCTGAAAACATGCGGGATGTAATGTAACAAGCGACTAAGGATGCCGTGGCTGCCTGAGACGATGGCTTCACCGGCAACCAATGGTCCCAAAGTGAGTCCCTCCTTGAGGTTACGCAAGATGATCAGAATATAATGCCAGAATTTTCTCAGCTCACAAAAGAGCTCATGTACGACTATACCCGAGAGATGCACATGACCGTATTCAATGGACTCGACCTCGCAGGAATGAGAGTCTAAATCAGTTAGAGGAACAGCATCCCAAAGGTTTCCCCCCAATAGATCGCTGGTGACTGCGGTTGCAGTTGCAGAAGCGGATGCGGATGCGGATGCGTGACGTTTCGGTAAATTGCTGAGTTTTTCGGATTCCGTGGCATTCTACAAAGAAATATAGCGCTATTTTTAATTGCGACACTTTTAATTAAAAATTTTATAGAAAAAAAGCAACTCAAGTTTTGCACTTTTAAATCTCTGTTATAAATTATTTTAAATGTACATAAAATGTGTCAGGCAAAATAGGTTTCCAACCAAAACTGTTAGAAATCAACCATTATGTGTCACAAAATAACAATTATATTTTTAGTTCAATATCATGATAAAATTTTATATTTTTATGTTTTTCTAAAATGGTTCAAGTTTTTAAAATATAACAAAATATATTTTGTACTTCATTATTTTTTATAATTACGATTATTTTATAAATAAATTAAATAACATTTTGTTGAATTCTGAGAAATAGAAAATTTTATTTAATTAGACTTTAACCAAAAACTGTGAAACTAATTTAAAATATTTAAAAAATAATTTTTTATTATTTAAAAACAAATATCAATTCTATCTATAAGTATCAGTTCTAAGTTTAATTTGCTAAATTGTATGAATTTCTTATTGCACAATATAGTTTTTGTTTACAAATATTCGTATTTAATTACCTCTAATTCTTGCATTTTTTGCAGTCTTTCAATGATACCTGATTCGTCCACAAGAATCATTGCTTGAATGAAATCGTGCATATTCCTGTACGAAAATGTATCATCCTGAAAAAAGAAGAAACGGAGAAAGACATTAGATTTATTTATTGTTCTTAATTTTCAATAATACATAAGAAGGATACATATGTTTATAATTACCTGAACATTTTCTTTGATATCGTTGCTTGTTTTCGGCGTGCTCAATTTCTCCTGCGCTTCGTCTTTCTTGTCGTCTATCTGGCTTATCTTTTCTTCTCCGACCGTTCTTTTCTCATGAATGGTTTGAGCCTCCGATAAGTTTTCTTCCAATTTTACAAAATCTTGCTTTTCCTCAAATAAATCTTGTAAATTATTCTGTCTTTTTTCCCGAAGAAACTGTTGCTCATTGTCGAAATATGTTTCAAAATCTTGAGAAATGCCCAGGTCTTGCTGAATAAAAGCCGAACTTAAAGACAAAGAAATCAGGAGAATGGCAAACGCCGCAAGAATGTTGCTATTCGCCATAGTACGTTCCGATGGGAACTCGATGATCCCAGAGTCCACAGGTTGCTTCATATACCTCGAGGATCGTTATTATCATATTCAGATTCGGCACGAAAATCGTGATGGAATCAAACAACACTGGAGATTGTTGGCTGACAATAATCAATAATTTAGATACACACTGATGCACGTGAGATTAGTCATCATCTCATCTGCAACTTGCTTTGTAATCGAGCACGATCTATCAACATCAGAAATTATATTGACTTGCAAAATTAGATTTTTTTTTGTCATTCGGAAAAGAAGAGTAGTGAATTTCGTGCCGTTTTTTTTTGAGTTTCGTATTCTTTTTGTGCATTAAATTTTATTTTGAAACAAATAATCTAATTTTTTAATAAGCTTTTTTAAATAAATAAATAAAATTTGAAAAATGTAAAAAAGAAGAAGAGTGTGACGTAAATTACTTTTACTTAATACATTCTGATTACATCAAATGTAATTAATGTTAAATTATTCACGACTAAATGTCTACTTCATTGTTAGTAAGTTTACACGGAGTATTATTAATATAATTTTTTGTACAGTATTTGTATTTGTGAGTAATAATTAATTTTTGTTGGATAAAATAAAATATATACTAATACTGTCTGTGTATGTGTATATGTGTACATAATATGTAAATCTATTATTCTCGTTCTGTAATTTATATATTTCTAACTAAAAATTTTATAACTTTTTTAATATGTATTTACTATTTGTTTATAAATATACAAACAAATTATTAAGAATGCAAAATGTATGTAAAATCATTCAAAATTATATTCCACTAAATATTAATCAATGTAATTTTCTTAATATCTATCCGATAAACACGTATAATAGACTGTTTACTAATTTCGTTTATTGAAACGTATGTACATTATAATATAAAAAAATATATGAGCAACTACACTAACTCAGGCTTGTGGTAATTCATTTATTTATTTATTTATGTATTCATTTATTTGTAAATTATGAAAATTATATATTTACTTAATCACTTAAACTAATTGCTAGGCATTGTTTCACCAAACAAATTAACAAAGAGAAGCAAAAAAATTGCAACCAGATGTACACACGGTCGCAGGAATGCCTTAACACATGAACTTGCACAAGTGTAAATTTCACACGCCAATTCGAATGAGCCTTGACACTCGTTGACAAATTCATGTGTTAAGCATTCCTGTGACCGTGTGTACGTGCTGAACTTGTGTATTGTGCATAAAAATTAACATACTTTTATTTCGGCTTCTATATTTAGGCCATGTTTAGTCCGATAACTTTCCTACTAATATAAATACATGAACATTTTACATAATTGCTATACAAATTAAAATCCGTGTGGCAATATTCTGCGAGTGTGTCAAAACTAAAATTTTTCCAACACGAATAATGCGTCGTATAGCTTGTAATAAATTGCGTAAGATCGCTCTTGACTGTTGAACATGCTTGTCCGCTCACACTAATTATAAGTTATTTGAAACGTTACTTCTTTAATGTCCCTTGTAATTCAACTGATATAATCAATTGATATTGAAGCATGTTAAACAATGACTTTGATAAAAAAAAATACGCATGACTTTGACAGCTGTCGAATTGTCACATATGATGTTGTTATTTTCATTGTCGTGACGGAAAAACCCATATGTTTTACTAAAATTCAATTCAAAATACAATTACAATAGGATGTTTGTTTGTAAATATATATAATTACGATTACAATGAGTATAACATCAGTTTACGTAATGATAATTTTTAAATATTATATAAGAAAAAATTTCAGATTGTAAAGTCCATGTAGCTTAACAGCACATCTATCATTCATATAGTCTTCATTTCTCGAAAAATGTACGTGTTAACAAAAATTGGGCACTATTAAAACATCTTGCGATCAAATCGGGTCGAGAAATTCTTTATCATTTTCTCTTTTAATGAATAGTATCGAGAGTTATCGAATAATTATTGTAAGCTAAATATTGAAAAATTCGCCAAATATTCCTTAAATATTTCAAAAATTATTGGTTAATTAAACAAATTGTTTTACATTAAAATTATTTGACTTCATAAATAGAAAAAGGAAAAAAAGATAAATAAAATTATATTAATAATTTTTTTATTTTTGTTTTTATTATTGCGAATGTCTAAAATGTCTAAAAATCATACAGATCAAATAAAAAATATTATATAAATAAATATATTATTCTATATAATGAATAATAGTTTTAGTTCTTGAATAAGAATGTCTATAATAAATTTATACATTTATTATATATATATAAAATAAATATATATAATATATATAGTAAATATAATAAATATATATATAATTAAAATAAATATATATATATATATATATATTATATACATAATAAATATATAATATATATAATAAATTTATAGTAATTTTTTTTTATTTATTAAATTAGAATTAAAATTAATAAATAGAAAAAAATGACTATAAATTTATTTATTTTTATATATTATTGTATCTTGATTTGTCTATATACTAACGATAGATGTACGATGTACGAACGATATGTAATATTTTTATGTATTTATACAAGACATATATAACAATTTCAATATAATTTAAATATCGTTACTACTTTATTTAATTACTCTTTTATGTAATAGCAATTCGATTTACAGTTTTCTTGTTATGCATTGCAAACATTGCAGATAAATGATGCATGGTTAAAAAATTTGTACGCGTAAGCAAATTCTAATTCTCACAATCACTTGTGAATAATGAGAATATAGCATGCTTATATTTATTTGTTATTATTTTGATCGGTTACTCACTATATTATTATATTATATTATCAAGAATTACATTATATTAATATATATATATATATATATATAACGTATTGCTGCTACTTATAAATGTAATAAAACGTTACACGAAAAAATTTTGTATTGTAAGTATAGAAGTATAAAGAAGAATTTATTCTAATTTATAAAAAAAAAATAGGTATTTAAGGTTTTAAATTATAATAAGGATACATTCAACTAATGCAGATATAAAGAAAATAAAAATTTGAAATATATTAAAAACCAGAAATTTAAAAAAATATTGTTTTTTTATTTGCTTGAGTAGTGTTTCTTACATTTCTTGTAAAAGATATAACTTATGTATTACAAATTCTTTAACAAGATGTAACAACAGAGTTTAATTAACACAAGTTTTAATACATGATGTTTCACAGGCAGGAATTAAAACTTTGTCAATTTTACTAGTAAGATCTGTTAAAAGTTTAATAGGCTTGGGTGTTGATATCGCTCTGAAATGTAAATAAGCATTGTTATGTATTTTATAAAAAGATATTCAGTGAATATAATATTGCCTAAAACTATTGCTTGAAAAATGTTATTATTGAAATAATGCAAGATCAAATTTATTTGACAAATTTTGATAAACCATATAATATGAACATAATGTATTTTTTAACGTTAACATAAAACATATTCGACAACTTACGATGGAGGTGGCGGAGGTGGCATTTGAAGATCAAAGTTGTAACTCATCGGGATTGGCGTGCATGGGATCGATGGAGTCTGGATGTCATATTTGTAAGATTTCCCTCGGTAAGGATCCGGCGTAACTATTTTTAATGGTTCGGTAATTTGAGGTACTTGTATTGAAATCGGATATTCGTTTTGCACTTGATAACATGTCGGCGACTCCGTCGAGATAGCTCGATAGTTCAACTTGAGTGGCCGGTAGAGAGATTTGCTGGGTTCTGTTACATACTCTTCTACGGGTTCCTGCAAAGTTATTTTTCTAATATGTACACATATATACTACTTATTGGTATATATGGTCAAGTTTATAAAGAACATGGAAAATCGTAAACAATTTATACATAAATATAAATATAGCTGCAAAGAATAAAATCAAGTCATTTTAGAATGGAAATATTTTTAAATAAATTATCTACTCATAAATAAATTTCAATATAAACAAATCAATTATTTCTTAAAGTTAATTTTTAATTACTCGGATATATAATACGTAACCAAATGCAATTATTATAATCTTTGAATTTTATAGGATTTTTTAAAAATAAATCTGTAAGTGAATAGTAATAGTAATCATTTTTACAATATTTAAAATAAAATAAAAAGAAAAAATAGATTTTTTTTAATTGGAAACAATATACTATATGTATATATATAAAATGTAATATACATATATACACAATTTGAGTCTTATTCTTTAAAAATAAGTTATAATTCCCCCCCCCCCCCAATAACACTACCTTATAATTTAAACGTAATTTAACAATTTAGAATGTAATCGCGAATATTTTTATATTCGCAAACAATTATTTATTAGGTATTATACCTGTACCGTAATGCCAGGCATCGCGGCAAAATATTTCTTCACAGAATTAGAATGGATTTCATTGGCCAAAGCCTCTACACTGTCCCTATGAAACTTTCATAGAGCATTCATGAGCGCTCCTCATTAATGCCATAGTAGGCAAAAAAAAGATAATTTTATTGCTGCATACAAAAGGATACATTTACTGCCGGAGGCCCATCAAAAAACATTTTTGGCACTTCCTCCATTCTCTCGTATCCCTATGCAAGGACATAATTCGCCTGCCCCCCCCCCCTTCTACCCTTTCCTTTGAGACTAGCCCTAGAGTTTGTCACATATTACATGTATGCATATAAATGTATATTTCTTAGCAGTAAGTCAATAAACACAGGTAACCTATTTAAAAACTATTAAAAAATATGTCCTTAACATATTTCTCTTTTTAAGCTACTATGAAGATATTTAAATAAAGAGTTTGCTTTTATACAGAATTTTCTGTAAGATCTTGATAATTTAAATAAAATAAAATTTACATCTTTTTTTATGTACTGAGTAGTTATATTAAATCAGAAATGTGCAATGCGTAATATAATAGTTTTTATGTAAAACATATACACAATTTAAATTTCACATGTAGTTGAAATAATGCAATGATTAGATATCAATATACGTATACCTCGATTGTAACAGGTAGCTGGTGTGACGAATAACACGGTTCTCCATATGTAATTATTTGAACTCCATTACACGATAGAGGGAACCCGTAAGAAGACCTTAAATGCAAACAAACACCAATAATAATGATAAGATATTGTAATTTGAACAGCGCCGCCATTATCTTGAGAATACAAGAGACTCAAAACTGGCCGCCAACATACCGTGCTACTGATATAAAAGTGGTTTCGTCAAACATAAATCCACTGAAGTATTTCCTGTTTGTGTAAATACAGTGAAACTGTCTTGCAGCAGTAAAATAATAATCTCTACTTATCACGTATTACGAAAATGAAGTGTCTGAGCTAACAGTAAAACAGGCACGTCTCTTTCTCGGCACGTGTTCACATAAGGTTCCTCATTTCCTGTATCACTGTAAATACTTAATTTCTTACATTAAGCTATTAAGATTTAATCTTTTAATTTAAAATTGTATAACAAGAAGCAACATAAAACTATATTTAAATAAATGCCTCTAAACCACAAAGAATTCGTCATAAAATATATAAAATTTATCTACAAAAATTATCGATTTATGAATCTGTTGATGTTATTTGAAAAAAAAAACAGTTATATTGTATTACTGTTTTGTAATAATTAATTATAAAGTATACAATAAATTTACAAAGAAACATTTTTAAGTGTCCCTGATGTTGATCAACTTTGAATATATTGTAGTTTAGATCTATTATAAATACAAAACATATTATTTTACAATAAAGAATTTATAAGCTCATTAAAAAGTCCGTGTTAAAAGGGAAGTATCTTTTAAACAAATTGATTTTTATGTTTCTGACTGAATATTATCAAAACTATATCAAAATATTATAAAAGATACAAAAAAATGTTTTTAATAATATTTTTGTCACTTAATTTTTTTAAATTAGTTTATTTTGTTTTTCAAAAACTTTTTTATTTAAAGAAAAACCCAATTACCACGCTTAGGATAAATTTTAAAAAATTTGTTTTAAACTCAATAATATTTAATATTTAATTTAATCTTATATAACATAATTATTTTTCAAAAACGTATTTTTTTTAAATAAGCTGGAGATATTTCTATACGCATATGCTATCTGTGCGTCTCTTATTTACTTTTCTAACTTTTTTTCTAATATAAAATTCTTTAATTAATTATTAATTTAATTAATTAACACACACTCTTTCTCTCTTCCCTTCCCTTTTTTTCTTCTTCTACTTTTACAATAAAAAATATATATAATTATAAATATTTTTATTACATTTATTAACACATTTATTATTTCTTTATATTATTAATTATTTATCAGTTTTGTAAATTATATATACATTCGTATTAATTTTGCGAGTAATATCTTTTTGCATTTGTGACGCGTTTGAATTATAATAGAAATGTCATTATTTGTCTATTCTTTCTGTCTGTTTATTTATTAGAAAGCTACGTACAACTTTATGTAACTTACTTGTTTAACATTGTATAAATAAAATTATTTTTAAATATAATTTGTTGAAAATTAGATCTGAGAGATTCTTTTTATTACAACTTTCTTCCTGTTTATTCCTTTTTTTATTACAATTCTTTATTACAATAATTAAAAGAAGTATTTCAAATATAACTAATATTTAAAACATTATACATATTATTATTAAAATTAGGAAGAATTTTTATTACATATATTTTTATAAAAATTTGTTACTATTATGCAAGATACCTTTAATTTGATTTAATTGATGATTTTAAATGAGAATCTAAAATATCTTAAAAAATTGGACAGAAATACATATAAAAATATTTTAGACTAAATCTGTATGATTTGAAAGGAACAGGAAAAAAGTAATTTCGGTTTTACATGGGATTGATTCTTGTAAGTCACATCAAGATTATCTTAAATTCATTAAATAAAGCTTTTATTTTTACTACATATTCTTGTAACTAACGTTTTCAATATAGTTACATGTTTTTGTGTATTCAGAAATTTTTTAAATATTTTGCATTTTGTGTATCATATTATTTAATATAAAATATAAAATATTTTATAAAATATTTATTTTTCAATGACTTTACCTTAATATTTTAATAAAAATGTAAAATAACAGAAATCTGTCTTGCAGAATAAAAACTGATTTTTAAAGTTTGCTTCAAAGAACCTGTCACATTATATCATTTACAATAAAATGCAAAATAGAAATTTGTTTATAATTTTATGTAATAGAAAACATATAAAAAATTTAAATATACTAATATAAAACATATATTATTGTTATATATTTTTTATACTATACTATATTGTATTCTAATGTTCTATTTTTTATTTACGTAATATATAAAATGATAGAAATAAAATTTTATTTCAAACAAAATCTAAAGTGATACTTATACGATTGTTTAAAATACTTGAGTCAAAAATAAGTCGCAATTAGTTTCTAAATTTATATTTTTATCTGACAGTTTTTTATTCAAAAAAGTATTTTTTAGACCATACATTGAAAGAATAAAACAAACAGGATCGTGAAATAAATTCAACGTTTTTTTATTTTTGTATAATTATTATATTTATGTATATCTTAACAATAGGAACATTACAAAGACATTGAACTAGGACTAGCATGATTTTCAAGAAAATGTCCATGTCTCCGTTTGATACAATCGAGATTAATTTTGCGATGATCGCGAATTGTCAATGAGAACAGTTCTCTTCATTTAGCATTTTTCTAAATGATCATGGAATGCCACACGCAGAACCGTATTTTCGAGCGGTGCTTTTTAGTCTGGCAAATATTCCAGATGTCGAATCGTCGATATCATCTTCGTCACTAGCTCCACCCAGAAAATGCACTTGTTCGGTATCCCTCTGAATGTCATCGTCTATTTCGCCGCCTTCGGGTACTACAATTTCTTGATCGATCATAATACCGCCAGGAACGTAGCCGGGGACCGGTGGCCCTACCGGACCACAACTTACTCCGTCTTCTTCTGCACCGACCACATTGACTGTTGGTTGCACGACTGGTAAGGTTCTGTACTTTCCTGGTGATGTGTTGATTGGCGCGTATCCCAAATCTCTGAAGCAATTGCAGAACAGAACATATAAGTATTTTATAGAAACAGTTGTTTGTTCAGTGTATTAACACATTGTGGATCAATCATTTTATTGCTAATTGTGGCCAGGTGTTTAAACTGTTTGAACAGTTTGAATCCAATAAAAATGAGTATAAGTTCAAACAGTTTAGACAGTTTGAATAGTTCGAACGTAAGCAGTCATTGATCTGTTAATATAAGTTTGTAACGTCCGAAGATTCGAACAGGGTAGCTATGTCTCAGTCAGAAATGTTTCCGATCGGATAGTAAAGAAGATTGAAGCAAAACTAATATGCATTACAAATACCATCTTGAAATGAAGATTCTTTTTGTTTTTATCTAACTTTACATAAATCAATAAACCAATATTACGTCATCCACGTTGAAATGAATGAGCAATGCTAATTTTTTTTTTTAATTTAAACAGTTTGAAGTTTGCAGAACATGTTGACAAATCGTTTAATGCATACTAAGTATTTCTTTTACTCACCCATATGTGATGAAATTTCCTTGCGTCTGTTCAACGATTTCTTGTCGATTTATCCTTTCACGCTCGATAGCTTCAAGTTCCGCCAACTTGGCTTCCTCCTTCTCGTCGTCGTAACAGCCGAGGGAGATAGGAGTCGACAATACTGGCTGCAGTTCCACGACGGGCTTGTCGAGAATCTGAAGTTTCTCTTCAGGTACATCCGGCACTCTCTTACTAGGCGCTGATTCGATTGGCACGGTTCTGTGACCGAATGCTAGCTTATCTTCTGGCACGAACGATCTCTTATTGTACAACACGGTACGCGGAAAGAGATTTTTATATGCCAAAGAGAGCGAAACCGGATCCGCTGGTAACCGTGGATAGGAATAATCCTGGGCCAATTCTAAAGCATTAAAAAATATTTATTTTAGTTTTTTAACTATGTAAAAGAATATATTATGAAATTAATATGTGCGATATTTTATAACCGATCAATATTTTTATCAATAAATTAAATACAGCATTGATTCTTCTTATTTTCATTGCAAGAAAGTTTTAAGTTTTTAGAGTAATTTTACTTGCTAAAATCGAAATCCTATAATGTACTCATCTTTCTTGTTGTTTAAATTTTTGTATTGTATAATTTTTCTTTTGTTTTGTGAATTAATCATCAAACAAATGCTGAACTTTTTAATTTTCAACTTTTGCCAAAAATTCTTACATAATAAATAAATTAGCTTTAATTTTTAATTTTTTTAAATTTAACATATTCAAATTATATCCCAATTATATCAAATTACTTGATTTAATTCACCTAATGATTGCAAAGTTTTAATTCTAATTCAGATCTGTATAATTGAGAATATATATATATATATACAAGATGTTTCAGAGTTAAATGTCGTAACTTAAAATATGAATTTATAACCTCAAAATAAGAAAAAATTTTCCTTTGAAAATATCCTCCTCGTAAACGCTTTGCTTAAGAGATATTGACATCTAAACATTTTCAATATAAAATTTGTTATTAACTCTAAAATTAAGTCAAAAACGTACCTAAGTCGGCAGATTCACAACCATATCTTTGGCTTGCTGCTGAATTTTGGAATGCATCAAGTGAACTGCTCGTTGTTCCAAAGCTATTCCCATATGTTTTGTATCCATTTAAACCATTTATTCCAAAATCCAAACCCGTTCTTGTACCTGCGTATGATCCTGCATATGGTTTTCCGTATGCTGCGAAGCCACCAACATTCGAAGTATATCTTCCAAGATTACTCGAACTATCGGATCTTCCGAAAACTGTACTGCCTACGTTAGAAACACCAAAGTTACTTGATGCACCAGATGCACTTGCACTGCTTAACAACCCGTGTCCACCAGTGAAGCTGGCACCGTTGGCGGTCGCCAAATTAAGTTTTCTCAATCCTTCCGCGTCAATTTGCCCGTTGAGTATTTGTATACAAACTTCGTAAGGAATGGCAGGGGAGCATTTGATTTTGCCAGGATATGCCGGTGTCACCTTGGTGGTCATTTGATAACTGCTGCTAGGAGAGTTCGGGTAACACAAGTCACCAATCGGTGGAAAGCTGTCGACAATAATAATGTAAAATTTACAAATGAATAAAAGGATAAAATGTTGAATTCATTTTCTCATTCTACATATGATCACATGATTAGAAAATAGTAAAAAAATGGAGCGAGAAAAATTGTGAAAATGTTCAAGTTGTTAGGAATAGGAAGAATCGATTACAATCTACATGTCATTTGTGCATAAATCAACATGACTTCAAACAAAATTCTAGCATTAAAATTAAATATGTGATATGTAATAATTTAATAAATGTATATATAAAACATACTTGGGCACAACAGCTCCATGAGTATCAGAAGACAAGAGATCATGAACCGCAAGAGATCCGGATTTTTTTCCGCATCCGCAACCAGAATCAGAAACGGTCTGTCTACCCGAGACGGAATAAAGAGGAGACTGAAGACGACTGCTTCCACTGCTCAATCCTCCTTGGATACCGATAGAAGATATGGCGCTTGCAGAGCTACTGCTGCTGCTACTGATGCTCTTATAGCCGGTGTTACTGCTGCTACTGCTGCTACTACTTTTTCCAGCACCACATCCCTGATAGACATTATATCTGGAAAGACCTGCGCGTGCTTTTGCAGCTTCATTGATTGCTTCTGGCGACGCATACAACAATGGTTTTTGTACTTTAGCTGCCTTCACCACTACTTCTCCACATTTACACGCGTTGACACCTGAGAATCAAAAATAAAATCTTGATTTTATATTACTTTACATTACTTTTACATACAATATTTTATTACTATTACAATCGTATTATATACTTTAAATAAGACTCTTTACAAACAAATAAAATTTTTTAATTTTTCTATTTAATTTAAATAGTATAAATATTAAATACGTTGCAAAAACAAATATTATGTATGTGTATATTAAATAATAATTAATTAAAAATTATAACAAATTCAAAAAATGTCACATGCCTGCGTGTTTCATATTTAAGCTGCGATCCACTTAACACTACACTTAACGCTACGCTTTGAAGCGTTTTTTTCTTTTTTTTTTTAAAAAAGAAGGAGAAGAAGAACGCTTTGAAGCATTTGTAGCGTCAAGTGGGCCGCAACCTTAGATAATATATAAAAAGCTCTCTACAAAAACGTCATATATTAAGAATGAATATATTAATAATTGATGAAGATTAAATGAGAGTTTATATGAAAATTTTTTGTATCTGTTTCAGTTATATCTCGAAAAATTGTAATCATTTTAAATAAAAAAATTATATCAAAAAATAAATAAAAAGAATTATGTCGAAGTGACAAATAACGGAAATAAAATTCGAATAATGAATAATTTGTACAGAATTCAGTCCACATACCTGAGCCTAAACTTCCGCAAGTATGTTCTGCTTTGCGTGCCTGGACGATGGACGTAGCCGCTATCGCCAGGAGCAAAATTTCCAGAATCAAAAAGGACTTCATGTCTGTTTCAATGCTCTCTCTTTTTTCTTCTCCTCTACTTCGCCAGCGTTACATTTATATAAGAAATCACCGGGCTCTTTAGCGAGCGATGATTTTGCAATCGATCAACAACTGACTGTTTGGGTGGTTTGAATACGCTCAACGCATGCACGCTTCCTGTTACAACGTTTGTATGATGAATTTATTATGACTTTATTGTCGCTTCCTGGATCTGCGTGCTTCCAATAAACTTTACAAAAAGCCATGTTTTATAATCAAAGGAAATGATAGAGCTAAAGGGCCAAAACAAGATTATCGTGCTCACATTGTTTAATTAATTAAAAATCTATTATAGACGTTTTGACCATAAGCTTCGGTTATCTTCAGTGCATTTACAATTTAACGCAACGCAACAAAAATTTCACTTAAATATTATATTGCGCTCTTAACAATGTAATATTTAATTAATGCGTTTTTGTTGCGTTAAATAGTAAACATTCTGAAGATAACCAAAGCTTATGGTCGAAATGTTTACGATAGCTTTTTAATTCATTGACGCAAGTACGATAATCTTGCTTTAGTTCTCTCTTTAGTTCTTTTATTTCCTTTGATTATTTCTTCAATAAAAGAGCCTCAATTAATTATTTTCATTTATTTAATTTCATGTTTTATAGTTTCTTAGAGCTTACTCGTTGAGAAATATCATAACTGCAATAACTGTCTGTTTTGCAAAGAAAACAGGCTGCCAGACCGACATAAATGTGATTTCCGTAAATCAATGATAAACGAAACAGAGATGGAAGTTATTAATCATGCGTTCAAACTTTTTGTTTCAAAATTTTTTATATTAAGACCGAATTTTAGAGTGCCGAAATTTTATATTTGTTGTATTAGAGGACAGAAATTTTATATTTGTTTCATTATTTTTTATATTTCTTTTAAGGTAAAGATAACAAAAAGTGATGTTAAAATATTTCACGCGGTAGGCGGAGTAACAACATAGCATAAAAGCTTAAAAAAATAAACATCTTAGCCATTTCACATACAATCCAGACAACATGCATGCCTTAAAAATATCTGAAAGACGTCCAAAAGATGTTATTTTTTTTTTAATGTCTTTTAGATGTCTTTCAGACATGCATGTGTTGTCTGAGAACTGCATGCATCTAATCTCTGTTGTTTGCGTATTTCACATTCATAAAAATACTAAGCATCTGATCTTGGAACATAGAACTTTTTATTGCATACGCTTCTAATTATAATTAAATGATGCATGTAACTTCATCCTCCCGCATTACAGGAAAAATTGTATTTCTCAAGATATAATTTGCTGATGAGTGTAATCTAGACGTAATTCTTCTTCCCATAATCATAATACATTTATTTTTAAAAAATTTTTTGCAGCAATTTCTAAAATGATAACATATTGTGCTTTTTGCAAAGAAACCCTTGCATTTTGCGCAAGCAATAAAATCTGTTGCACACTTGTTATATTTTCATTAGAAATTAATAATAATAATTATTGTATTGAAAATGGTTAAATCATTGACCAAAATGTTTAATTACAGTTGTCAAAAAATTGTAATTATTAGTACAAACAATTTGCATGGCTCGATATCTCCTTTGTATTTATTATTTTAATATAAACACACTTAGTATTTACACTATTCACACTCCTACAGAATTTTTGGATCGTTTCATATATAATTTTTGTACATAAAACTTCTTATTTGTTAAAGAAATCCGACGCTCGTTGTCGTTGCAGAGGTAGATTAAGCAAATTATCGGTGAGTACGGGTCCTTGAGTCCGTGTGACTGTCGTTTCCAATTTTTGAGAAGTGGTGTGTTTAACCGGTGTAATCATACGTGGCGTCCTAGGTGTCCTAACGTTTACAGACGGTGTCCTAGACACCAATGCTGTGCGTCGAGGCGAGGGTGTACTCGATATTCGAAGCTTTTGAGTCGCTAATCTTCTTGCCGCGGGAGACATTGTGCTCAAACGATCTATAGTTGACCTTGGTGACGGCCTAGAAATAATAATTTCTTATAAATTTTCCTCTTTCTTTCTTTTATATTTGCATTTATATACAGTGTTTTTAATGATACATCTAAATATTCTGAAAACAAGACTCTCTTCGAAAAAAAAGGTTTAGATGAAAGTTATATAGTTGCCAGGAGAACATAAGTTTGACATCGAAATATTTAGGTGCGTTATTTAAAATAGGATAACTTTCTGTATGTTCCACAATTAATGGTATAACTAGAGAGAAATAATTCCATATGGAAAAATAAATAAAAAATGTAGAATAATCTTTTCTTTTTATATGAAGCTTTGTTTTCAAGAAAAATTAATTTAAAACATTCAAAAATATCTTTACACTTTTTTAAACAAATAGATGATCTTCAAAAATTTGTAACATATTGTTTCATAATATTGTAATATTGTAAATTATAACATAATATAATTGTAACATATTGTTATTGTTTCATATCTATTCTTTGTATAGTTTAAAATGTTTTTTAAAAAGATATACAAAGATAAATAAAAAAAGTAAAGAAACATTTTTAATCAGTTTGGAGGAACAAAAAGTTCCTTTACTTTTTGTTTTTCCCTCATTATTTTATTTTTTTCCACTAAGCATTTTATGAAAATATTAAAAACTGGTGAAAAAAATTTAATAAAAATTTTTTTTAAATATTTAATAAAGCATTAAAAAATGACACTAAAAAAATTTTTTATCTTTGAATAAACCTGCTCCTTTGATTTCAAAAATTCGAGTCTATATTATTATATCCTTCTAATATCGAGTAAATTCATTAAAAAATTATTTAAATATTATTTACGTGGCTAATAATTTTCTAGCTGCTTCCAAGGCTTTGTTTTTTCGGTCTTTACGTTTTTCACTAGCTCTCTCTAACTGCAATGCCAATTGTTCCCTTTTTGGCGGGTCAGCTATTCTGAAAGAAGAACCCTGAAGAGTCCTCAACAATGGAGTGTCACCACCATCTAATCGGAATGGTGTGCCTTCAATCTGACCCCATGTCATTAAAGGACTTTCACATTCTCCTGGCCTTGGAGTTGGTGTCACCACAAAATTATATCCATTTACTCGCGGTGTCATGTTCTTGACGACCTCTTTGCCATCCACACCAATCTTGCCATCATTCGCTTTGGATTGCGACTTGGCCAACTCATTTATAGTTTCTTTATTTTGTTGTTCATTAAACGGATTTGTCCTCAGTCTTGTATTTTCATGCATCACACTCTGTTTCTTCTTAGCTAACTCTATCTTCTCCTCAGCTGTCAGTTCCACTCCATCAGGAATATACATAATGTAATTTTTATTTTTATAAGTCCAACTATCTACCTGTTTAGGCCTCAAATTTGATCCTTCGATAGCTAAGGTCGAGGGCTTATCAATAGCAAGCCATGCTTTTGACTTCTCTTCTGCTTCATAAAGCCAGGCATATTTTAATTTAGTTTTATTCTCAGTCTCAATTATCATCTCTTCAAAACTAGCGTTATCCTCACTTGTATGTGTGCTCAAATAATCATCCAAACCAGTTTTACTTTCTGTTTCACTATTTTTTTGTACAGATTTGACAAATGTTTTTTGAGATGATGTTTCCGAGCATCCTAGTAAGTCATCTGATTCAGTTCTATGCAGTGGAGTTTCGAAAGTTGCTGGACTAACTGGTCTTTCTGTGATAGGTCGACCAGAACTATACTTAGCATACAGCTCTCTCATTCTGTTAATATCATTTTGTTCCAAAGCATCCAGATATTGATTTTGCGCTTGCAATTTCTCCAAGTGTGGAAAAAAATCCCGTTGTATGATTTGACTCATTTGTTTGATGTATGTATCTTCATCCAATATCTTTGGTTGACTGTTCTTGTTCTTTCTCACACATTTAATAGGCTTTTTAAAAATAGTCAGATCTTTTATATTCTTAGCAGCTTCGAGAGCCTTAGAACCTGGACTATTTATAATGGAATCTAAAAGAATAAAATTAACATGTAGGTAAACAAAGATCTAAATCTGTGATTCAAAGCATTTAAAAATTTACATTTCGTTAAGTAAAAAATAAACTTAATTACATTTTCGACAATACTCACCACTCATTTTGATTAATACAGCACATATAGCACGGTTTTCTGCACAATTGAGGTTATGTGACAGAATTCTTGCTGATTTATCATAAATATTTACGGTTACAGAACGTAATCTTTTTTGCAAATCTATTTAATGCAAACTTTTACATATACTAAGCTGTATCTCTATTTACATATAGAAATTTTTTTATATTTAAAAATAATTCACACTCTATTATCACTGGCCATTACTTGATCACTGAATCACTGATTAAGGCTATGTTCCAAAATTCACTGCCAGTACTGAAATCTACAGTTTACGTCACGTATATTATAGATTTTCAGTACTGGCAGTGAATTTCTGAACGCAGCCTATGTTTAGACAACACAACGGTTATAAATGCAGTTCACAACAGTTGTACTTGCAGATCTAGAAGTATGCACCAATCACAGGCGATTATTACTCAACAGGTTTACAATTTTCATATTTTATGAACGCACTAATTAATGTCCTCATTGAACTATGGCTTATAGCGTTTTCGATTATACAGGATTTGAACGACCCAGGGTTGGTTAATGACGTCATTGCAACCTCTCCACCAATGAAAGACTTGCATTTATAGTAAAATAGTGATTGATCAACCCTGGGTCGTTCAAATCCTGTATAATCGAAAACGCTATTAGTTTACACCGATTATTTAGTATGCGTACCAAGTACTAAATCTGCTTCTTCGATAGGTATAAATTGTTTAGTGTAAAATCTACACCAATCAAAGAAGCAAATTTAATACTTGGTACGCGTACTAAACAATCGGTGGTTGCGTTCCGTTTCGCACATTATGCGCACGAATTACATAGAAAACGTTCCGTTTCACTCAATGCGCGCATGAACAGCGCTTAGAATTCCCTAGATCCCCACCACCTGCAGCGCATAATACACGCATCAGCTACCTCAAGTTTGAGTTGCAGCAGCTTATAGGCCGGAGCACAGACTTTTACATAAAGCATAACGCATAAGCATAAGGAAATTGATTGGTCTATATATAAGCATAAGCAAATGCATAAAAAAATGGACCAATCAAT